AAGTCCAAAATCATCTCCTTTGTTTTGTTTACGTTCAAGGTCAGATGACACACCATGCCACAAAGCACTCCACCAGCTCTCTGTACTCAGCTTCCTGTCCATCTCTGATACACCCAACAACTGCAGAGTCATCTGAGTATTTCTGTAGATGACAGGTCTGATTTGTACTGGAAGTCTGAGGTGTACAGGGTGAAAAGGAATGGTGAGAGTACAGTCCCCTGTGGTGCTCCAATGTTATTGATCACCTGGTTTGATGTGCAGTTCTTCAGCCTCACAAACTGTGGTCTGTTTGTCAGGTAGTCTTTAGCAATAGCTGAGGCCCAGTCATTTTTAATAAACTCGTTTTACTGTTTATTACAAGGTTCATAATAATCATAAATAATCATCATGGTTCATTATAAATGACTTATTATTCTTTGGTTAATAATATTTATTATTTATGATAATCAAAAATGTTTAACAGTGTGAAGAAGGGCATTTGCACGTGTACACACCATGCAGAGGGGGCTGAACCAGGGTAAAGTTAACTTGCTCTCGCATGTCTTTGCTCCATAACTAAAGCTTCCTATCTCTGAGAGGGCGTGTTCTGAGGTTTTGTTAAAACCAAAAACTCCTCAGTTCAACTTCAGTTCTTGAACCAACCAGATACTCTCCGTGGGGACGAGAATCATCCCAGAGGACAAGGGTCGGCCGCCCGAAGCCTCACTAAGCTGTTCTGTCACGCCGATAGAATCGCTCTGAATAAACGCCACCTGTAACCAGCTGACGCAAAACTCCTTCAGAGTTAAGCCAGACGCAAGCTCTACACCTGTGTACCCTGCGACAACTCTTGGACCAGAGAGTCGGTACCACTTGGGTCTCCTCTACCGGACCGAGTACCCAGAGGCTGACAACATCCTCCCTTTGACCTCCGGATCCACACAGAGGGTCGTCTGATCGGTGATGTAGAAAACAGATTGTGTCCGATGCTGTTCTCGCTAAGAAACAACTTAGTTAGCTGCAAAACAACTTTTCACCCAGAACGCATTTCTCTCTCTGAAAGAAATATTCTGAGATTCATCCACGCATCCAAACATACGCATTCCATTTTAGTTTCCATTCAGACACAGGGTTGCTTTTAATACCAAGCTTTAATATCAAAGCTGTTATAAATTGTCATTTATAAATTGTCATTTATAAATTGTCATCTTTAAATTGTTAGTAATAAATTCTTACCATTTTAAACCTGACTCTTCTTTGAAATGAAACACAGAATGGTGTATATTTGGTTATTGAATTAGCAAAGATTCCATTAAGTCTTCTGTTTAATAAATAAACTTTGCTATTAATTAAATTTCTTAAATTAAATATTAATCTTTGGATGAAATATAGACCAAGCCCACTGGTGTATGAACTTCTATCGATTACATAAATATCCTGGATATCTATATATAAGCTTCATTTGCTAACTTGTTTGATCTTCCTCAGAATCTAACAAAGCAGATAGCAAACAGCATTAATTCTAGTATGTAGACTATCTACGCTACAGCCCCCACCTGTGTCTTCTGGAGTTTCTGGCAAAGTACATCAGGCTGAATTGTGTTAAATGCACTGGAGAAATCAAATAACATGACCCTCACATTGCTGCCTGCTTTGTCCAGATGACAGTCGGTTGGTTGAAGCAGCTGGATGATGGCATCTTCAACTCCAACTCCATGGCGATAAGCAAACTGCAGCGGGTCCTGATATGTTCTAGTTTGCTTATTCAGGTGGACCAACAGGGGTCTCTCCAGGACCCTCATGAAATGGGATGTCAGGGCAACCGGTCTGTAGTTGTCATTGACTGATGGGCGAGTTTTCTTTGGAACTGGAACATGGCAGGATGTCTTCCACAGGACTGGAACCTTCCCCTGGGCCAGGCTGAGGTTGAAGAGGTGCTGCAGAATCCCACAGAGCTGCTCTGCACAGGCCTTCAGTACCCTGGGGCTGACACCATCTGGACCTGCAGCCTTGCTCCTCTTCATTCTCTCCAGCTGCCTCTTCACCTGACTTCTAGAGAAAGATAGGTGGGAGAGGGAGGTAAATGGGGCAGCAGCATCTCCTGACTTGGCTGAAGACAGATTTATAGAACCAGAAGAGTCCATGACTGCGTTAGAGGACAAATGAGCTGGCGTGTGACAGGAAAATGTTGGATCAGAGGAGGATGGGATGTCTGATTGGCTGGGGCTAGGCGAGGAGGATGCTGGGTTTGTTCCTGAACTGAACTTATTGAAGAACTTGTTCAGTTCATTGGCTGTGTCCAGGCTGCCATCTGTGCAATCCTTCCTCTGCTTGAAGCCTGCGATCTTCTTCATCCCTGACCAGACATCTCTGATATTGTTCCTCTGAAGTTTGTTCTCCAGCTTCTTCCTGTATGCCTCCTTACTGTCTCTGATCTTGATCTTCAGTTGGTTCTGTATACTCCTCAATAATTCCCTGTTTCCCTCCTCGAAGGCTCTTTTTTCTCATTTAGCAGATTCTTCAGTTCACTGGTGATCCAGGGTTTGTTATTAGCAAAGCATCTCACTGTTCTGGTGGGTATGATGTTGTCCACACAGAAGTTTATATAGTCAGTGACACATCCAGTCATGGCACTGACGTCCTCTTCATATCCTTGGCAGAGAGTCATCCAATCTGTGGTCTCAAAACCCTGCAGGGCTTCTTCAGCATCCTGTGACCATTTTCTCACAGTTCTTCTTGTCACAGGTTGCCTCTGAACAAGTGGTTTGTATTCTGAGCAGAGAAAAACAAGATTGTGATCTGATTGTCCCAGAGGAGGTCTAGCTTTGGACATGTATGCATTCTTTACATTTGCATAACACAAATCCAATGTTGTTTTCTCTGGTGGAGCAGCTGACAAACTGATGAAATGCTGGAAGTGTAGCAGAGAGCGAGGCATGATTAAAATCACCAGATATAGCCACAAATGCATTGGGGTGCTGGGTTTGTAGCTTAGCGTCAACGGAACTGACGGCATCACATGCACTTTCAGCAATGGCTGAAGGTGGAATATAAACGGTTGCCAAGACAACACTGGTGAACACTCTTGGCAAATAATATGGGCGACAACTTACTGCCAAGAGTTCAACATCTGGGCTGCAGAGACGACATTTCACTGAAACATGACCTGGATGGCACCATCTGTTGTTGGCAAGCACTGCCACTCCACCTTATTTTCTTTTCCCGCTCCTCTTCAAATCTCTGTCTGCTCGTACAGTCAGGAATCCTGGTGTTTCTCAATGCCAAGGAACCTTGCCTTGATGTCTTGGCCCTGCCCTGGTTGCCTAGGTGATACGTCATCGGGAGCCGCCAAGACATCTTCCAATGTTCATGTTCTACCGAGGCGTGTGTTCTCCATTTGTTAGCAGTTTAGCTAGCTGAGGGATGATACACGGGAGGTGTCTTGTAGCCTAGTTAAAAATTACCCAGAATACACCACAGTATTTTTAAAAGGCTGGCAGATCAGATGCCTGCAGCTACTTCAGGGACAATTTTCAAGTTTAAAAGTAAGTCAACTAATTAAAAATGTTTTTTTTTAGATCCAAAGAAGTTGGTAAGTTGTTCAGAAGTTGCAGCTTCGGTGGCTAGCGGGTAGTAACTCGCTTATATTTTTAATTTATTATACATACACAATTTAAAAAGGAAAAGGCTCGTTATATATTTATATTGAAACTAATACATATAAAATATAACGTTATCTCCCGTGTCACATGACGTTACGTTACCGCCATGGAAGCTGTGGTCACGTGATGCAAGTCTGTTCCATTTAACCATTTTCTTAGACCAAGGAAGGACAGTGTCCTTGTAAGTAAGGTGCCTGGCCTCACAAGTCATCGCCTCGCAAGGCAGGCGCCTTGACATTGAGAAACACCCAGTGTTTGCAGTGTTCAACCAAAACAAAAATGGCATCAATAGAAGAGATTTGCAACTGGTAAATTTTGAGATCACATCAGAAAAAAACCAGCGGTATGAAAGATGGTGTTACCATGGCGAGTGCGTCTCGCTCGTTTGTCAACTGCGCCTACTGGTTACTCAAATTGCAGCTTGCAAACTCGTGTGAATTTCATGCAACAAACACAAACAGTGCTTCAAATCAACACAAGTTACGCGAGACACACATACATGTTATATAAAAGCATATATATTCCTGGCCTAAAGCCAGCAAAAAATGCTGCCACCTAGCAGTCAGAGTTTGAACTGCACCACCCACAAAAAATACAGTAAATGTTTGCATATTAATTTAAAAAATGATACAAAGCTTTCAAAAGCCAATTCAGTGTCACAACATGAAATATCACAATATTTCAGTGTACTGATATTTTTTTCCATCCCTAGAATTTTTTGTCTGCTCCTCGTTCAGCTGCTCTTCTTACATCAAATATTTATTAGTCACTCACAATAAACAAAAAAAGGTTACAAAGGGGTTCGATTTGCAACACTTCACCATTTCCTAACATTGGATTAATTCTGCAGAAATCTCGACATAATCCTGTTTTCCTAACCACCTGACCTTGGCTCTAATCCACCCTTCTTCCTGTTCTCACATCTCTGATTGATTCAGGCTGGACAGTTAGTAGATTTCCATCATCTAAGGCAAGCTGTGGCTGTTTTCTCATTCTGCTGTTTGAACAAACTGTCAGCCCTGCTCTCCTAATAATGTTCCAGGAAGTCCGAAATCTCCTTGGCTCGCCCTCCTGTTAGCAATGCGCTGCGAAACATCGCCGCTTGTGGGGCACTCAGGCAGAAACTACGCCAGTTAAAAGTATTGGTATCTGCATGTTTAGCTGGGCCGTTACAGCGCCGTGGATTTCTGATGCCAATCTTTTAGCAGCAGGTGTGCCGTAACGGCCAAATCAATGGCGTTTTAGGGAATTAAGTGCACAGCGTGAGGCGAGATGTTTAGGCAATTTTGGCTCCCAAAGGGAAAATCATCATGCGTGAGGAGCAGTTTCAATAAATCAATAACAAATTACAGAATCCGAGAAAGTGGCAGCAGACTTTATTTTCATCTGACAATACAAGAGAAAGGAAAAGTTATTTACAATTACACTGAAATATTCATCATTTGGTGCTGATGACTGCAGACAATCAGTAGTAGTCCTCCGGGTCAGCTTTGTCTCTCTGGTTCAGAATCTGCTGCTGCTTCTTGTACAAATCAGCGATCTGCAAAGATTGAGAAGAGGAGGAGAAAGGTTCAGACAGAAAGAGAGAGAGAAGAAGGAGGAGGAGAGGAGAGGAGGGGACGATCATGAAGTCAGGTCAGTAACATGAAGAGGAAAAGCTAAATATACCGGTTTGATTATTCATATCCGCGGCTTTGAAGTCGGTGACTCCGAGCTGCTGACTGGGAGATGGAGGTTGTGTTCATTTATCAGCAGTTTGGGGGTGAGGAGGAGGGGAGGGAGGGGGGACAGTGAATAATGTTTGAGCAGTGGGGTGGCACAGTGAGGAGGAAAACAATGAAACATCACATTATTTCTTCGGCGAGGGATCAAGGTAAAGCTTTGATTCTCAGCCTGCGTCCGACGAGTTTCTGGTCCTCCTGATTGCCTCCGACTAGAAATCAGGTCAGGCTTCAGTTTAATTGCCTGCATCATCAGGAGGCGGGGAAACAGCAGCGATATTTAAATTCAGCCGACGTTCCATCTGGATTCTCGGATGAAATGAACACACAACTTCAGTCTGAATTCATGTCGGGGAAACTTCGGAATGTGAACGAGTTTGGACCGGGCTTCGATTCAGCGAGGAGATGGATCATAGTCAGAGTTTAGACATCAAGGACGATTCCGAGCCCAGCCGTACACCAACTTTTAATTCATATTGATTTCTTTCACAGATAAAATCAGACGATATTGAAAAGGTCTGACACTGTGTCAGACAACCTGTCTCACTGTGAAGTTGTGCGCCTTCTCCTTCATCGGGGCGCAATGACTCACTCAGTTTTTATGTGTTTTTTTTTACAGCTTGGTGTATTTTCAGAAAAAAATATCAACTGGCACAAAAATGGTTGACTTTGTAAACTATTCTTAAAAAATGAAGCAAAACAGCTGCAGCAACAGAAACATAAATAACATAACATTAATTTTATTAAAGGCTTCAGCATTCATTAGGGCTGGGGGATACTTGATAGCTGAACTCTGATGAGACGGGATTTATCTGCAGATTATTCTTGTATATGAACAAAATCTGTTAAGAGTCAAAGCTACACATCAAAGTCAAAGATGAATGAGCCTAACTATGGCTGCTAACAGTTAGATATTATCGGTGCAGTATGTAAATGAGACAAATCCAGAAGGGTCTAATGTTTCCGTCATTTTGGAAGGAAGGATAAAGTGAAACATGTTTCGTATCCAGTTGGCTGCTGGATTGTCAGTTTTTCTCCTTTCAAAACAAAAAAAGGAGAGACGTAACTGTTTGCCATCAGTGAGAGTGGGAGGCCGTGTCTCCTGTTAGCCGATGGTGCAGCGTCGACAATCGTAATCGGATAGCGGCCAGCAAAAAGCTCCAGAGTTGTTTAAAGTGGTTGCAGTAACCAAATTGTACCAAAGGATGTCTTTTAACTTCATTTCTACATAATGCACCTTTAGTTAGATGCATGCTAAAGTAATAAATGCACTGATGTCTGCAATGATAACATTAAAGGGGAACAAGGCTGTTTTAGCACCAGTGTCCGTTTGTAGGATTGAAACCAAAACCTCGCTGTGCGTTTGTCTTTTTAACACGTTAATCTAACAGCTGAAACGTCTCCCAGCCTTCATTAGTGTCTACGGGGTGATTCAGCTCTAAATTACACAAACTAAACTAAACTTATAAAATAAAATAAAATAATAAAATAAAATAAATAACAAAAACATAAAATAAAATTAAATTTTACTAGCAAGAAATGTGGTGGAACCAGACTGCACCACCAGGTATGTCAGGTCATTTGTTTTTAAGTTAACAGAGTGACCCGCCAGTCTGAAGTTGCAAGTGGAATATTCTGGCCACAGGGGGCTGAGTGACCTTTCTTTCACCCTGTAAAGGATCATTTTAGCACCTAAAGGCTCAAGAAAATGATTTAAAATTATGAAAAAGTTTCCAAGTATCCCTTTAAATACCCTTGAAAATGTGAATATATTTGTTAATTTTCTCCAACAAATGCATTTGTTCCTAGACCTCCTCTCAGCTGAGTGACATCACACTTCCTGTTGTATGAACCACACGAGATGTTGTTTTACTCTGGTGTTAAATGACTTTGAACAAAGTGCTACATAGACCGCTGCCTGTGTGGGAGAAAATGCCCTTGCAGTGCTGCTCACCCTTGAAATTTACAGGACAGCCTTTGTCAAGTGACCATGATGATGACGATGATGATGATGTGACACTTTGAGCGATCCAAGCTAACATGATTGAGTATTTACCAGGTTACAGTCACCCTCTGCTTCGTGCTGTGATTGGATTTAGTGTTTAACATGTTTTTGACATCATGTGCTCCAGCGGTTGGGTCAGTGGAAGGAAGTGGTTCTTAGTCCGGTTTATTGGACCTACCTGAGCTCCGCTTGTGGCGTCCTCTGGCTTCTTGTCATCTCTAATCCGAAGGAAGCGCGGGAACCTGAGAGAAATTCCTTTCTCTGGATCCACCTGAAGACAATGAAAGTATCACAGCTTCACAAATATAAAAAAAATGTCTCTTTGATCTTATAACAATATAGTCACCAATTAGCTCAGTTTAAATCCAGCCACTAAACCAAGCTTTGGTCCTACTTTAGCTCATGCCTCTTTAAGCCTTTTATTACCTTCACTGAGTGAGGAATTGCAAATGATCTTTTTCAGATTATCCAAGGCTGTTAGAAAATGTTGGAGGTGACAGACTTGATTCAAGATTTCTGATGGCTTACAGCTGTGCATGGATCTGATTCTGGTTAGGTCGTTACTTGTAGTAATCTGATCCCAACAAGTAATTAATGTAGTTAGAAAAAAGCTAAATCATCAGCAGGTTTAAGGTTAAGATGATCTGAGGTGCCCTGAATGCAGCATTAATTCAAATCAGAATTCAGGTGAATCGAACTTTGACCCATAATAATAATAACAATAACAATAATAATAATAATAATAATATATTAGGAAACATAATTATCCCACAGTAAAAAAAAATCAAGCTGTTTGAAATTAAAATCTCTAAATTAAACAAACACAGGTTTGCTGATTGGTGCAAACATAACGAGCTGAACTCTGATGAAGTTCTACCTTTTTCCCTCTGAACGGTGGGACTCTGCCAAACCACAAGTAATTAACAAGTATCTGTTCCATTAAATCCAGCATCTTTTACAACATTCCTAATAGCTCAACTAAAACAGATTAATTATGAGTTTTAATTTGAGCCAGCAGACCGTAACAGGAAGTCTTTATCAGTGGAAGCACATGAGGGAGGATTAGCGGGCTGAACTGACCGTTCCCATGGCAGCCTTGTAGACAGGCGACAGCGAGAGGTCGGCGCACTTCACCTCCCAAACCTGCACGGCATCCAGCCACACGTCAGGCTCGGCCGATTGGTCCACACGGTAGTAGGGGCGTGGCTTGGGAAGGATGTGCTCCTGCAGAACATCAAATTAGTCACAATTAAACTTTTCCTTTCCCAGCAAACCAGAGCTGCTGCGGATGGTGAGGCTTCATAATCCAACCCCAGGAGGAAAAAACGGTTTCAAATTTAAATCTTAACCCTGCAGTTTTGGACTCAGTAATTTTTAAACCACTTTATTATAATTGATGCAGCTATGCGACAGATGTCATCATTACACCCTAAATCCCACTCAGTGAAAGAATCTCGCCAAACAGAAAGATCATAATTACGGAGGCGTAGTGCTGTCAAAAAATTTTAAAAAATGTAAAAAAAATAGAAGCAGTATGTATGGAAGAAATAGTCTCACCTAAATGTGACCTTTCTGTTTACATAGAATTTTTATTCTGTGAAATTATGCATTTGAATTTATTTTTTTTTACTTGAAACACACCAGAAATAAATTTCTGTGAAAATTTCACTGCTAAATTTTATGTTCATTATTTCAACATAAAACTTTAATCAGCAACAAATGAGTTGAACTCTTGGTGACCCACGCCTAAGCAATCTTCACTGGTGTCACGCGATCAGATAAACGTCGTTTGAATGGCTAAAAGCCAATCGACTTGATCGAGTCGCTAGGAGGTCACCTCAGCTGAATTTTTGCTGTAGAATTTTTTTATTGAAATGTTTGCAACTGATGTATTTTAAATAAAAATAAAAAAATTCAAATATATAAATTCACAGAATAAAAATTCTGTCTAAAGAGTCCTATTCTGACATTGTCTTCTATATGTTCCTTGTTGTTACGAGATATGAAAGTACGTTATTAAAAGGTAGTTTGTCCTTATTACTACACACTAAAATACGTTTTTATGAGAAAGTTCCTCATGAGTTTTTTGTTATTACGAGATAATAAAGTAAGTTATTATGACACAGTTTCTCTTTATCACATGATGCTAAAATGTGTCATTAAGAGTTTTTTATTATGAGATATTAAAATATATTATTACATGAACATTTCTTGTTATGAGATACTAAGAAATGTTTTTGCCAAAATAAAACAAATCCCAAAAGTTTGGTTTACTTTCATTCGTCCATATTCCTCCTCCAACCCCCATAACCGTCGGCGTGTCCTACAACTACGGCAAGCCTCAAGGACAACAGACATCAATAAAAGCACAACAATCTCCAGATCTTCTGGGACTATGGACTTGGAAGGTCCGACGAGTTGTGTATCAACTACTATTTTCTGTATAATTTTTAGATCTTACGTGTTGCTACCACACGTAGAGTGAGCAGTCAGGTCGTGTCCGAGCTATGAGTCTTCCAACCTGAGAACATGACCCGTGAGCTTTGCCCTGCAGGGAAGCTTAAGTGGAGCTGAACACAACGAGTGAAATGGTGAACGCCCGGCTCGACGCCACCAGTCACCCCGCTTTGCTCCTGCATTTTGTTGTGGAGTCGATTCCTGTGCATCAGAAAGTCTGAGCATTAACGAGTCTGCTGCAGTGTCCATGGAAGTGGGTCACAATGAAGTGATGCTGGGAACAGAGAGCTCCAGCAGCAATGCTGCCGTTTCCCTGCACACATTATTTATACTGTAGGCATTCATGTGATGCTCTAATACACACTGAATTACAATGAGTGAGCCGGTGGGCGTGCAAAGTCTTTCAAATGTAAAAATCATTAACCTCCATTCCATCAAGCTGTTCTGATTGGAGTAAAGTAGAAGCTGTAGGTTTTGCAGGGTTGTCGTAAACAATCACAATGCTATTTGTTTGTTTATGTGCATGAGGACTGTTTGCTTTCCAGAAGAAGAGACAACAAGCTTGCTAGGTTAGGTTGGACATTAGGTGAATCTAAATGCTTTCATTTATTATTATCATTTTTTTTTTACTTTTAGGTGAAAACAGGCAAACTGACATTTTTCCTTTATCAATCATTAGAAAACCGCTTAGAAATGATTCTGGCTCATTGGGCCTTCTTATATGATCGACTTTCCCATAGTGACCAAAGTAACGCAAGCTGATTGTTATTTATTGTAATTTTCCATTGAAATGAAGCAGTCTATATTTACTTTTTAGAATCTCTGTTGATGCTTTAGGTCATTTTTATTCTTTGTGCAGAAATAATAAAAATAAACTTTTAAAATGCCTTGAGGTACGACTTTTTTAAAATGGAATCCTGCTTAAATAGGTCAAGTGCCACACTAAGTGGGAGGTGATAAAACAATATGACTGCACATGCCTTCAGGAAAATTATAATTACGCTTAAAACGAGGCAGCAGAGTTCACATGTCAAAGCTGTTTATTAGGTAGTTTGGTGGATTTCAACAGATTTAACAGAGTGACGATTTCTAATTGTGATTTGCAGAAGTTGTAAAGAGAAAGCAAACAGACTGTGATTTTATGGATAATTACGGTTTAATATTTGGTCTTGTACTTTGTACTTCTTCAAATATATTCCATTATATTCATCTTTCTGGGAAAATGTCATTTCACCTAAAAGTGTGTAAAAGCAACAGAAGTTACAGAAACTCGTCAGGCTTGGAAAAAACCTGGAACAGTTTGAATAAAATAAAACTTAAGACCAGACTGTCTTTAAAGAAAGAATAAATCTCTTTCCTGGGACAGCAGCAGCTCAGGAGGCAGAGCGGGTTGTCCAGTAATCAGAAGGTTGCAGGTTCAATCCCGGCTCCTGCGAGAGAATGCGGCTGATCGGTGGTTCCAGAGTTCTGCGACTGCGCCCTGGGGCAGCTGTGGCTACACTGTAGCTCATCATCTCCAGCTTGTGAATGGGTGGATGACTGATTGTGTTGTGAAGAGCCTTGGGGGGTTGTGGAACCCCAAAAAGGCCATTTACAGAGCTGGAAACGGGCCCTGCTCATTGTGGGAATTTGAGTTACGAACTACAAAGCTTTTAGGGATGAAAACAGTTCTGCTTGCTGATTTCTTTAATATGTTTGGATAAGCAGTTCATGTTGTTATTTTTAATTAAGCCGAGTGCAGATATGACCGTTTTCATTAAGCCTGTTATTGCAAAATGTGTGACACGTCGTCCATTTGACAGATCAATGAAAACGGCTGTCATTTCTCCAAATCACCAAAAACAGGAGATAAACTGACTTTTTTGTTCTAACGAATAAATTTGTTTACAAGTGAAACAGTATTTTACATTTACAGGCTTTCCAATTCTCGCGCTGTTCTGGGTGGCTGCATGTTGGAGTAACTCTGTTAACTACATGTACGTTTTGCAATTGTTGGACATTTTTTCTTCAAGCATCTTAAGAAAAACAATTTTTTGGACCTTTTACATTTCTGTTTCTGGTGCTGTGAGGCTTAGAGGATTTTTACTGCTATTTTTTCACTTTTTGAGCATTTGTTAAGATGTGGAACCATGGCAACAAGCTGGTTTACAATCGGGAGCAGCTGATTAACACGGGAAAGGCTGAAATAATATCTCAACTGAAGCCACAAATCCCAAATGAGCGAAAACACAAGAAGCGTGGATGCAGAGCAGGAGCAAAACGGAGACAAAGAGGAAATTCAAACCATCTCTTCCATCGATCATAATGGGCAATGTGAGATTACTGGCCAACAAGATGGATAAACTCCAAGCCCTTTCAAGAACTTAGCCAGAGTATCGGCAGAGCAGTGTTATGTGTTTCACTGAGACGTGGCTGCAGGACCATATCCCCGATTCCAGCATCTCTCTGCCAGGATTCCTGACTGTACGAGCAGACAGAGATCTGAAGAGGAGCGGGAAAAGAAAGGGAGGTGGAGTGGCAGTGCTCGTCAACAACAGATGGTGCCATCCAGGTCATGTTTCAGTGAAATGTCGTCCCTGCAGCCCAGATGTTGAACTCTTGGCAGTAAGTTGTCGCCCATATTATTTGCCAAGAGAATTCACCAGTGTTGTCTTGGCAACCGTTTATATTCCACCTTCAGCCATTGCTGAAAGTGCATGTGATGCCATCAGTTCCGTTGTCGCTAAGCTACAAACCCAGCACCCCAATGCAATTGTGGCTATATCTGGTGATTTTAATCATGCCTCGCTCTCTGCTACACTTCCAACATTTCATCAGTTTGTCAGCTGCTCCACCAGAGAAAACAAGACATTGGATTTGTGTCATGCAAATGTAAAGAATGCATACATGTCCAAAGCTAGACCTCCTCTGGGACAATCAGATCACAATCTTGTTTTTCTCTGCTCAGAATACAAACCACTTGTTCAGAGGCAACCTGTGACAAGAAGAACTGTGAGAAAATGGTCACAAGATGCTGAAGAAGCCCTGCAGGGTTGTTTTGAGACCACAGATTGGATGACTCTCTGCCAAGGATTTTAAGAGGACATCAATGCCATGACTGGATGTGTCACTGACTATATAAACTTCTGTGTGGACAACATCATACCCACCAGAACAGTGAGATGTTTCGCTAATAACAAACCTGGATCACTAGTGAACTGAATAATCTGCTAAATGAGAAAAAAGAGCCTTCAAGGAGGGAGACAGGGAATTATTGCGGAGTATACAGAAGCAAATGAAGATCAAGATCAGAGATAGTAAGGAGGCATACAGGAAGAAGCTGGAGAACAAACTACAGAGGAACAATATCAGAGATGTCTGGTCAGGGATGAAGAAGATCACAGGCTTTAAGCAGAGGAAGGATTGCACAGATGGCAGCCTGGACACAGCCAATGAACTGAACAAGTTCTTCAATAGGTTCAGTTCAGGAACAAGCCCAGCATCCTCCTCGCCTAGCCCCAGCCAATCAGACATCCCATCCTCCTCTGATCCAACATTTTCCTGTCACAAGCCAACTCTTTTGTCCTCTAACGCGGTCATGGACTCTTCTGGTTCTATAAATCTGTCTTCAACCAAGTCAGGAGATGCTGCTGCCCCATTTACCTCCCCCTCCCACCTATCTGTCTCTAGAAGTCAGGTCAAGAGGCAGCTGGAGAGACTGAACAGGAACGAGGCTGCAGGTCCAGCTGGTGTCAGCCCCAGAGTACTGAAGGCCTGTGCAGAGCAGCTCTGTGGGATTCTGCAGCACCTCTTCAACCTCAGCCTAGCCCAGGGTAAGGTTCCAGTCCTGTGGAAGACATCCTGCCTTGTTCCAGTTCCAAAGAAATCTTGCCCATCAGTCAATGACAACTACAGACCGGTTGCCCTGACATCCCATTTCATGAAGGTCCTGGAGAGACTCCTGTTGGTCCACCTGAATAAGCAAATTAGAACATATCAGGACCTGCTGCAGTTTGCTTATTGCCATGGAGTTGGAGTTGAAGATGCCATCATCTAGCTGCTTCAACCAACCGACTGTCATCTGGACAAAGCAGGCAGCACTGTGAGGGTCATGTTCTTTGATTTCTCCAGTGCATTTAACACAATTCAGCCTGATGTACTTTGCCAGAAACTCCAGAAGACACAGGTGGGGGCCTCAACTATCGCCTGGATTAAAGATTACCTGACAAACAGACCACAGTTTGTGAGGCTGAAGAACTGCACATCAAACCAGGTGATCAATAACATTGGAGCACCACAGGGGACTGTACTCTCACCATTCCTTTTCACCCTGTACACCTCAGACTTCCAGTACAAATCAGAGACCTGTCTACAGAAATACTCAGATGACTATGCAGTTGTCGGGTGTATCAGAGATGGACAGGAAGCTGAGTACTAAGAGCTAGTGGAGCGCTTTGTGGCATGGTGTGGAAACAGTCATCTGACCTTGAACATGAACAAAACAAAGGAGATGATTTTAGAATTCAGAAGAAACAGGGTGGAGTCAAACACTGTTTCCATCATGGGAGAAGAAGTGGAGGTGGTTGAGGAATACAAATACTTTGGAGTTCACCTGGACAACAGACTGGACTGGAGAAAGAACAGCAGACTGCACTTCTTGAGGATGCTTAGGTCTGTAGCAAGATGCTGCAGATCTTGTACAAGTCTGTTGTTGAGAGTGTAATCTCTTCAGCCATCGTCTGTTGGGGTAGTAGCATCAGAAGCAGGGACCTGAAAAGGCTCAACTGCCTAATAAAAAAGGCTGGTTCTGTTCTGAGGACGACTGTGGAACCACTGGAGGAGATAATGCAAAGAAGTATTCTCCAGAGGATCAAGAAAAGTATGGACAACCCTGAGCATTCTCTTCACAAGTCTGTCCGACAATGGAAGAGTGTCTTCAGTCAGAGGCTTCTTCAGTTTTGCTGCAACACTGACCGCTACTGGAGATCCTTCCTGCCAACAGCCATTGTAATATACAACAACTCTTTGACAACTAGATTATTATTATTATGAGCTATGTTATGGCCGCCGCCGTTTTGGAGCCCAGTGGTGTGTTGCACTCCATTTTCATGACCAGCAGTTCAGCAGCGCAGCACCTTGGACACCTGCTCCTTGGGAAGCTGTCTTTCCTTCAGCACCATGGACAGCACCAGAGGAACGCTGGGAGACGTTCCAGCTGTTAGATTAAAGCCGGGCGGACACTGTGCGACTTTTTCACTTTTTTGAGCCGATTTTCCACTCGTGCGAGAATCCATGAGATCGGGGCGAGTTTTGCGCCGAGCGTCGTGTAGTGTACAGGGGGTTACGAGAGGCGATTAACACCACGTGACCAGCTACTGATCAGCAATCGTGAGGTCGCACGGACTTCTGGCGTGTTTAATATTTCGCTCGTCCCTCGTGAGGGTATCGCACTGTTGAAGCAGCGCTGCGAGCAGCTGCGACTCAAAAAGTATCAGAACCGCTCACGGCGCATGCGCAATCCTGCATCAACACTGCTCCCCGCTATTTCCTTAATAACACACGTTGTTCGTTTTAATTTCTACACGTTTTTTTTACTCACAAAGATTGTCAAGAAAGCGTGTTTGTCGTGTTCATGTCAAATTAAACTGATCACAAAACACAGATTTATACATAAATCCCTGTGTGTCCTCCTGCAGCATTCCCAAAGGACAACAGGCAAAACAAGACAAAAAAGTCTGACGTGTTGAGTAAAAACTGCTATTTTTAGCATATTTTTAGGTCCGGCGTGTTGCTACCAGACGTACAGTGTGAGCAGTCAGGTCGTATCCGAGAACTGGGTCGTGCAGTGTGAGCGCCTGGCTCGTGAGATCTGCCCTGCGAGGAAGTCGTACAGTTTGAGCTGAAGCGGAGTGCTACGAGTGAAAAAGTCGCACAGTGTACGCCCGGCTTAAGGTGTTAAAAAGAGGAACGCACAGTGACGAGATAGTTATGGTTTCGGTTCTACAAATGGACACTAGGGGTGCTAAAAGCAAGCCAAAACTGACTAGTCTCCTTTTAACATGGAAATCAATAATGGCAACTTGCTCCTTTCTGAAGCCAGACCCTAGTGGATGAAGGGGGAACTGCATTTTTTGTCATCGGTTTAACTTTAAGCAGCTGAAAAATGAACTTGTCTTCTGACTCAAAACATTACAAATGCAAAGACTCACCACCCACACAGAACTGGTTCAAATGCAATAAAAATATAAAAAAGCTAAATAAATAAGAACATTATGAAAATACAGTTTTAATCTGACATGTATGCATTCTTTTCTGACTATGTCATCAGCCAAACTCATCATAGTAACAATATTCTATTAGGAATCCTTTTTCTGTTTGTTTTTTACTTCTGGAGATTTTAACAATACACTTACAGTTTCATGACCCAGAGCTGGGCCTCCACAAGGAAATAAATCCAATTTATTTTCTGATCCAAATCAATGTTTAACCTGTGAAACAGAACATTGGACCAGAAAGAGGAGCAGACTCCATCATTGTTTTATTTTTTACTTTAATTTTTTTTGCTGTCTTACAGTTTTCTTGGTCAAAACCGTTCCACAAGTAACAAATCAGGATCCAAGTGGTGAGATGGATCAGTGCGGTCCTCATTGTAACACAGAACCTCTCTGCTCAGAGGAGTGTAAACAAGCCAATCGTCTCCCTGTCGAGAGTCCTATTGGCCTGCAGCGGTGCTGCAACAAGAGCAGCACGGCCACACCGCCGGCCCGCCCTAATTCACCATCCATCACTTTCATTACACACCGCTACCGCTCAGACAGTACTGTGTGTGAGTGAAAACTTTACACCACATCCACACTTCCCCATGGTGATTCAGCACCTTGCAGTAGTTCTGAACTAAACCCAAACCTGCAAAAATACTTTCTAACAAAAAACAACAACAACATCAGAATAATTTAACAACCTGTTTTTTTGGCTGTTATTCTTCCAACAACAAGTCTAAATTTAGCTGATGAACTCGGCAGCGTTCTCGTATGAATTCTGACTCTCATAACCGCTATAGTTTTCAGAGAGCAGCTGTCAATTGCCTAAAATGCTGCTGCTCTGGAACAAACCTCTTCATATGTAAATTGAAAAACCAATTCATTACTGAGATCAGAGCACGCCCGCACAGTTCCTCTCTACGGCGTTTTATTAAATAGGTGAAAGAGCAGCGGTTCATGGTTCCTGTCTACTATTCTCCTGAACCACCCGCACTCATTTTATCATCCAAATATGACATATAGCTGCAACTTCCTATATGACCACCTGACAAGCTCTGTTCCTTATTTCAACCCACCAGCAGAATTAATAATCCTGTTGCATCTAAAAATAAATAATTCTAGTAGAAATCTGATTTGGAAAAAGAAAGGTCACACATATTAGTGCTCTAAAATTTGGAGTGTGAGTTTTAAAGATGATGGCATCAGTGAGGTGGAGGAGGTGTTGACATTTAGTTTGTAATCAACTTAAACAGTAGTGCAGCTCTGCTTCACCTTTAAAAACTTGTGATGCTGCTCCAGATCTTCATCCTTAAAGCCTGTCCCGATCTGCGGAGAGATGAGAGGAGATAAGGGAAGACACGCACTCCGGCATACACACATATTCCCTCGTGGGGGAGACAGCAGACATTTGGCAGCGAGCGGGAGAACACAGAACAGCTAGCAAATCCCCCCACAACTCAAGCAGCTTGTCTGCCTGATTCGCCTAAAAGTGTCATGTCGCCTCTCAAAGGACTTGAACTCGCTGAGACACCAGAAACACCTAACAGGATGACACACACGCATGCACACGCATGCACACACACACACACACACACACACACACACACACACACACACGCACACACACACACACACACGCACACACACACGCACACACACACGCAGGAGAAAAAAGCCAGCAGATTATGGAAATAAAGCATTGTGTCTGCCACAAGTGACCGTGAGAAGTTTTACTGTAGCGAGTCTGTGGCATTCAAGGCTTAGCGGTGTTTAAATCAACTCCGGGACCTTTATGCATTATTTATCTGTTGTCCACCAAGCCAACTATTATTCAGTTTGTTAGAGGTGAGAACCAAACACCTTTTACACTGAGCCAATTATAATGGCTTGTTTGTTTGGTGACACATAATCAAATCCCTCCAGCAGCTTAATCTAATCAATACCCGTGTTTGAGCGTGAGATAATGTCACCAAACCCGACAGCTCCAGAAAAATCTTCCCGAACCCTTCAAGTTCCATTTCGGAGAAAGGAAACTTTTCCCAAGAACTTGTTTTCCTCAGATGTAATAAAACGTGCGGTTTAATGTTGTTTAATTTGGCTGTTGCACCTCATCATGACCCTCGTCTTTACAGAATCTCTTGCAAACATTGGTGTTAGTAACTCATCTGGTTCATGTCTGAGGATTTTCCTCTTTCTGGGTGGAAACATGAATTCATGTTTATTCATTTTTCACAGGTGACACTGTTTTAACCTCACACGCACGTTTTCCTTCTGTGGGAGGAAACTAGAGAAAATCCAAGCATGCCAACTCCACCCAGAAAGGCTGAAGCCGGGAGTCAAACCTGCAACTTTCTTAATTCAAGGCAAGAGCGCTACCCTGCAGGCTAACTCCAGCTTTCCACTGAATGCACAAGCAGCTCGTTTCTTTGCATCGGGAGTGTTTCAGATGCAAATCTGCAGCAAAAGCGTGCCACGCAAAAATGTCTCCCAGAGGGCAAGAGTTCAAAGTGCAAATGACCGGAAGAGGCCCTTAGAATGATGTTAGCCCTCCTGAGACAGAGAGCACTGTACAGATCTTCCAGGTGGGGAGAGAGCAACCGGTGACTTTTTGGGCCATGGTGACAACTAGGGATATAAGAAAATATCAATACAGCAATATATCGTGATATTTTTTCCTGAGATATTATATCAACATTAAAAAGCTGTGTATCAAATTTTGGGAAGAATTTACAGGCAAACTTTTGAGTATTTTCTTCTCATTTGGTGCAATTCAAACACCAACCGCTAGTTGGCAGCAGAGTGCAATGGATTTTGTTTCCACCACTGAAACATAAATCCCTCTATTAAGGTTCAGAAACCTCATGTTAAACATGTTGCGTAACAGTTTGGACTGTTTATTGAAAATAATAGCTAATATCGTCTGGCCAAGTATCGTTATTTATCGTGATATCACATCGTCTCCCCGTATCGTATCCACAGAATTTCACCAATACACATCCCTATTGACAACGCTCTGGAGCGCTTTCCTGATCGCCGCTGTGCAACCAGCAAACCACACACATGCAGCCAGTCAGGATGCTCTCTATGGAGCAACGGTAGAAAGACTCCAGCAAGTTCAGAGTAAGTTTGTTATTCTTAAGCAGTCTCGGGATCTAACGTCTCTGCTGTGCCTTCTTAATGATGGTCGTGGCGTTAATACTCCAGCTTAGGCCCTCCTCTAAGTAAACGCCCAAAAACCGGAAATCTGTCACCCTCTTCACCTGTTCCCCTCCGATGAACAAGGGCTGAGTGTCTGTCTTGCCTTTCCTTCTGAAATCTACAACCGGCTCCTTGATGTTCAGGGCCAGGTTATTATCAGAACACCAAACTGACAGCTGCTCCGTAATAGCTGCGTATTACGCTTAAGCGTCCAGTGGAATGACCCAGTAACATCCGTTACAGCAAAGCATAATGTCATCAGTGCATCCCCCACATAGGCTACAAAATCCTAACCCCCCCACGCGGCCTCAGTAATGCGTTTCAGTTAAAGCAAGGAGAAGATGGCAGGAAGTATTCAAAGGTCTGTGGTGTAGCTTCTGTTCTTTTTACCTCGGTCTTTGTTTCCTCGTTGTTGGTTGTTGGTTTCAGCCAAGAATTGTCATTTTGGTGCATCCCTAGTTATCAGTGACATTTTAGCACGAAAACAAGGTGGAAAACAACTAGATACCAGCCACGAAAACCGGCCCATAAAAACAGCGGTGCGTATCGGCATCAGCAATAGAAAAACCAATATCAGTCGACCTCTACTATAATCGCAGAAAGCACGTAGATTAAAGCGTACGTGTGTGGACAAACACACATCTTAAAAAAAACAAAAACAACAACAACGAGCGAGAGCAAGCACAAGCCAGGAACAACAGTAGCTGTCTTTTATATGAACCTTCCATCTCTGCTCTGCTGGCAACAATCAGCCACAAGGACGTTTCACCGGGTCGGATGTATACGTGGCATCATTAGAGGTAAAAGTGGGTCAAACTTTGCAATCATTCTGACTTTGATTTCTTTCGTTCTGCCTATGCCTCCCGCCCAGCGCTGGGAGTTATAGTGATGATGAAATGCTACACGCAGGAGCAGAGGATGCTGCAGTCACATGTCATAAACCCTCAATAGTTCTGAGGCGCCACGAAGCCCGGCTGGAGATAAATGACACGTTTACGCAGCTTCAGCCGCACGTTTTCTCCCATCCAGATCGTGTGTCTTACAGAACACGCTCGGCCGAATTTTAATCAATACAACTGTCTGAATGAGATATTTAGACGGCAAACAGGCAGCAGTCTTTCATTTTTTTTCACACTAATGATTACAGTGATCATACATTGGACACAAAGAGCTGCCAAAGCTAGAGACCTGCAGTCAATAATCTGCCGTAGGGCCTCCTGGGTGGATCCTGAAGATGGATCGGATCTTGTGTAGATACTTCCAGGACTTGGGATAATTTAAAGGAAACGTTATGGCAAAAGAGGTAATCTCAGGCTCTCAGTCTTCCAAGACACAAACACTAAGGTGGCCGTGCAAGCTTCAGAACACCAGCGACGTTTCCCTGCTGCTAAAATGAGGGCTTGCATTGGTGTTCCTTTGTTTATTAGTGAAACATCTTATGAGCCTTTATGAGCCTCTGTACGTATTCTAATGAAATTTCCAGAAAGTTTTTACTTGATGAACTCCAAATAAAGATGGCCACCAAAGCTAACAGAGCAAAGACTCGGTTTCAATAACGGGTCGCTGAAGGGTTTGGTCATGGATGGTGAAAAGCCCGGGACAGAGAGAGAGAACGTAGATGAGTAAGGGAGAGACTCCTCCCACATCAGCAGGTTCAGGCTGATTTCTAAAGCTTGGTTTATGCTTCATCAGCGCGAGTGGACTTTAGTTGACTTGAAAGCTCAACTTCTCCTTTAAAAATGATTTGAATGTTTCTGATGGCACACGTTAGTTCAAGCAAGCTAAGGTGTCAGAATGCGTGCATTTCTCTCACGGAACTGACGTTTTAGTGAGGAAAAACTATCAGACGGCTTCGAAAAACGTGCAGCCAGCCTGCTGCGGTAATGTAGGGAAAACTGTGCACATTTTTTGTTATTTAATACATTTAAAAGCTATTTCTACCTACAGATTTCCTCCATGCATTTTTGAAGTATAACATGTTTTTATAAAGCTCCTCTCTAGAGACGTGGCGTGACAGCGTGTGTGTATGAAGCCGACGGTCCTTTCCGTTGCTTGTCCGTGACAGCGGGGGATGGGGCGTGCACATGATCCGCTGCTGTTCCTCACCAGTATCAGCTGATGGACGGCTCTACTTTTGTTTCACTGCCGTGCTACGTTTGTGTCAGCGGACATGATAGGGTTGTGGAGGGGGATGGGGCATGACGCTTAGCCTGGCGGGTGACCAAGCAAAGCCTGGCGAGCCGCCAGGCTTATAAAGCGCTGGGGGAAACCCTGTACTAGATTAGACTCTAGACCATCTTTTCACCTAATCTACAGGACAGCTTAGAAGGCTAGCATTGGACCTTGGTTTGCAGAAAATCGTGAACTGAACCAAAATCACAATTTCTGCTAGAAAAATCGCAATTCAATCTTTTCCTAAAATCGTTCAGCCCTAAGTGACGCCCAGGTCACACTGGGCGTGTGAGCGGTGCGTTACGGCAGAGGCACGTCCTTGTGGTCAACACAAGCCGTTACTGGCTATGGTTTAGTTTACACTGGACGCCCAGTGGCTACTCTGCTGAAGATACACTTGGATTCCATTTTTGACAGTTTACATGGCGCTAAACAGGAAATCACTGTCAGTATAAAGCTAAATAACTAAAAAAGACAAACGCAGAGGTGCTCGTTCTCAACCATGTAGGTATACCTGCATCAGCAGAGCATCACTGTGATTTTCAGCATGGATGAGGCTTTTATTCTGGCGTCCCCACCCATGGTTGTTGCAGAGGTCGACCAACACTGGTTTTGTTATTGCCGATGCCGATATGTAGATGGCATGGTCGGGTATGAGCCAATATTTATGGCTGATATTCAGACGTTGTCTACTTTAATTAAATGTCACAAATAAAATTACTTGATGCACAAAGTTTCTAAAGCTGAATCAGTTTTTTGAACTCTGAATTTAACTAACTGTTAAATCTTAACTTTGTGCACTGCTCAGTGTTTAAGTCAGACACCTGAATAAAGTTTATTTAGGTATTTATTATGCATATGTTATCAGTGAACGTAAAAATACTGTAATCCTCTGATCGAGAGTCCAGCTACGTGGGCCGTTGCTCTGCTGCTCTGCGTCTGATGCGCTCCCTATGGGGACTTCCTGCCGGGGAGGTGGAGATGAAACCACCGTGTGGTTTTAATGCGCCTGGTTTTAATTGGTGGAGTTGTTTAGAGTGCATATCAGTGCAGTGTTTTTATTAACAGCTAATGCTAGGATAAACGGTTGAATTTAACTGCTTCCTGAAAATAAAAACACAAATTCAAAAATATTAAATATTTTTTTCATAAGGCTCTTTGGCTGTGGCCAACAGCAGGAAGGCAACACCAGCCTAGGAAACTGGACCTTTGATGTACAAACTATAAGTATTACCATTAACAGACAACAGGGCGAATAACAAGATAGAGACTATTTTAGTTCTTTCTCTGCATTAAAATGTAATTTATGAGCTGCTGGAGCTGCGAGGACTTTTACAGACTACTTTATGAGAATCATGTAATCAGATTCACGACACCAACTCCATCAAAGAACAGAAATGCACAAACCCAGCAATTTTTTTCAGACTTTTTGGGTTTGAAGACGTAAAAAATGACTTTTTTGATGCAAACTTATCAAGTAAAAAGCTGTGAGGGAAGTAACTTTCTGCTTTTACCTTGCAGACCGACTGAAACTCTTCATTTTCTTCATCATAGCAGGCCAGCAGGAACCCTCCGTAAGTGCCGGTCCTTTTTCCTTTCCCCAGATAGGCGCCGATCACACACAGGTCCACGGTGTCGCCCACTCCGTCCAGGTAATCTTTCTTTAGCTGGAACAAAAGACAGCTCCTCAGTAACGGGTTTAAGATAGAGGCTAACAGAAGTATCCGAGCCATAAAATTCAATTAAAAACGACAAAAACAGAATCGACTGTTCTTAAACTTTCTCAAAAGGTTTTTTAAAATAAATTTAACCTACCTTAGTTTAGTAAAAATGCTATTAAAACAAGTCATGTTTACCGAGTCTAGTAATCAGTTTCACCGGAGTACTTGGTGCACCTTATGAAACAGAATTATATTATAACTGCAGCTACTTTAAAATCAAAGCATTCATCTTAATTAGAGTTTATGTCCAAACGCTTGGTCTTCTATCCGTTGTTGCATTAATGATGAATCCGTCAGTAAATGGGCTCTGACTTTTTACCACACTGAGCAGAATCTTCGTACTTAGGTTTCTGAACATTTCCATCTTTAAGAAATACTTTCAGAAACTATTACATCAGATATTTATACTTCTGATGATGATCTTGTTCCCCAGAACTCTAAAACTCTAAAACAACGTTTTTAAACGCTTTAACTACATATAGTAAAACAGCCACTTCATACCCGTGTTTATATAAAAACAGGAGAAAATGTTGGGAGTGCAGCAGACCTTCATTTAAAAGCTGAGATCAGCCATAACATTATGACCATCTGCTCAACGCTTTAACGAGCAGGATTGGGCCTTCGTGTGGGATTATCCTCATTGAAACACATCTAGAGCTGTGCTTTATTTTCAGATTTGCGCTGGTAAAAGGTCTGCAGGGCATGTGCAAGTTAGAGGAAGCTAAATTTAAGGCTTTGATAAAATGTAAGACTTCCCTCTCCAGAGGAAAAAGGGGCATGGCCACCTGATTAATAGTTCTGCCCAAAGCTTTATTGGAACTGAACGTGCTGAAAAAAAGAGCAAAAACGTTTAGATAATTGCTTTGCAGGGGATGAAAGTCGTTTTTATTGAGTCAGTGGTATTTTTAAGACCTTTGGGCTTTGGATTTAAGGATTACTTGTCATTTTTAGAATTTTTAAGGTATTAATTATGTAAAATTTACTGCTTTTTAAGACTTAAAGACATAATATGTTACATTTTTGTTTTTATCATTTTCCCGAGTCAGTATGTGCTAATAATGACCCTTTACTGGGTTAATGAAAAGTCTCTCAGCCCCCACCCCCAGTGGCCAGAACACCGCACTTGCCACTTCAGAGTATTCAGTTCAGTCATGTCGGCTAGCCGTGTGTAGCTTCTAGAGTAACACGCCTCTCTGATCACCCAGCGCTCTGAATCTGCTTTTGGGTTTGCCAACACACTGCAGCCTTTACCTGTGGTCACACAATTCCACCTGGTCATATTGTTATGGCTAGTCAGTGTTTATGTAGCATCCTACTGATTAACAGAAGTCACCCCCCCCCCCCACACACACACACACACACACACACACCTTGAGCCAATTATGAGAACGCTTGGCAATCTCGTAGGTAGCATCCTTCTCCAAAGTCTTCACCATCAGGCCTTCACAAGAGTCTACACACACACACACGCACGCACACAAACGCACGCACGCACGCACGCACACACACGTACACGCACACGCGCGCACACACACACACACACACACACACACACACATACACACATTAATATACCAAAAGATGCCTCTGGATGTGCAGAAAGGAAATTAAGAGATTATCTAGCAGATACGTGAAATGTTGTGTTAGAGTCTCAAAGGAAACAAACAGGTTCAGGAAACAGAGAGACATTGGACAAGGACAGACGTATGACTCATACACACACAGGATATGCATCTTGTATCCTAAACAGAGTCGGACACACACACACACACACAAATTCAATTATACCAGTCACAAGCGTCGACTTTGTTGTGCACACACAAAACACAACAAACAGGCCAAACGCAGTTAGACACACAATTTACAAACCACAGCAGTGGGAGAACACACATATGAGATTAAACTTAACACACACACACACACACACACATTCAAGACACAGAGGGACAAAGCAGAAGAAGGAAACAAGTACACACAAAAGTAGAAGACACAAAGAGACAGGAAGAAGGAAAACAAGAATGAGAAGTCTGCCTGAATCTCTCAGACACAAACATGCACACATACACACAAATTCACTCACACACACACACACACACACACACGTGGGCACGCACACACCTCGGACAGACTGCTCTAGGAACTCTGCAATGATATCGGTGTTGTCAGAGTCGATGAAACGGGCGAACTGAAACTCTCCTTCCATCTCTGAGAAGCTTTCTCTCAGCAGCGCCCGACGCCGACACAGCGGTTGACGCACCAGGGACTGAACACACACACACACACACAGAGAGAGAAGCACAAACATCATTACAAATGGCAAAACCGCATCATTACAACCATTTCCTCTTGATAGCTCGAAGGCTTCCAATGACAAGGATGAAATACCATCTCAACCCACACACACACACACACACACACACACACACACACACACACACACACACACACACACACACACACACAGACACACAGAGTGAACAGTTACAGCAGCTTCAGGCTCAAATACAAACACCCACACATGCATGTTCAAACGGAAAGCCACACGTGTGTAAAACACACACGAAGCCTCGTTTGCACATCAAGCCTGTTTTTATCCATCAGCTGTAATTTTGAAGGTGTTTTAAAGGAAATAATGAACGAGTGACACATTCTCGGTAAAATCCAAAACCTGTCAGAACTTGGCTGAAGTAAACTAAACAGAACTTTTTAATCAACTATGACACAAACATCTTCAAGAGTTTTTTCAGATATTTTTCCAACACTTTAGGTCCAATAGGATCCAAAACATCCGTGAAAAGCCAGAATGATATTTTATTTACTGCTTTTCATTTCCTTATTGAATGTATTAGGTGTATTTAAACCATTTGCTGAAGGAGGTACACACTCATGTCCCAAAAACTAGTTTTCTTGTCCGGGGATTGGACCGCCAAGGCTCCCGCCTTGGTCTGCCACCCGATTCGCATTGCACCGGACCCTTCATGTTCCTCCTGCGGGTGGTGGGTCCACAGTTGGACGAGCCCATGTATCCGGTTCGGGCTGGGCCCGGCCGGGCCCCATGGGCGAAAGCCCGGCCACCAGGCGCTCGCTCACGGGCCCCAACCCCAGGCCTGGCTCCAGCTCTGACCTTCAGCTCTTGCTGGGTAGGTTCGCGGCCGAATGTGAAGCGGCTGGGATGAGGATCAGCACCTCCAAATCTGAGACCATGGTTCTCGACCGGAAAAGGGTGGCTTGCCACCTCCGGGTCGGGGGAGAGGTCCTACCTCAAGTGGAGGAGTTTAAGTATCTCGGGGTCTTGTTCACGAGTGAGGGTAGGAGGGATCGGGAGATCGACAGGCGGATTGGTTCGGCGTCTGCAGTGATGCGGACGCTGAGCCGATCTGTCGTGGGGAAGAGGGAGCTGAGCCAGAAAGCCAGGCTCTCGATTTACCGGTCGATCTACGTCCCAATCCTCACCTATGGTCATGAGCTTTGGGTAATGACCGAAAGAACGAGATCGCGGATACAAGCGGCCGAAATGAGTTTCCTCCGTAGGGTGGCCGGGCTCAGCCTTAGAGATAGGGTGAGGAGCTCGGACATTCGGGAGGGACTCGGAGTAGAACCGCTGCTCCTCCGGATCGAAAGGAGCCAGTTGAGGTGGTTTGGGCATCTGGTCAGGATGCCTCCTGGACGCCTCCCCGGGGAGGTGTTTCGGGCATGTCCTGCCGGCAGAAGGCCCCCGGGTCGACCCAGGACACGTTGGAGAGGTTACATCTCCAATCTGGTCCGGGAACGCCTTGGGGTCCTGCCGGAGGAGCTGGTGGACAAGGCCGGGGAGAGGACGGCCTGGAGCTCCCTAGTTGGGATGCTGCCCCCGCGACCCGGACCCGGATAAGCGGAGGAAGACGAGACGAGAGACGAGACGAGACGGTACACACTCATTCTCAGTGGCTCATCAGACATCATAACTACGCCTACTTAAATATATAGATCTTCCTTCCACGGAGCAAGAAGTTTGTATATTTGTACAAACAGGATCTTTTCCTAAGAGTTGTTCTTGCAGTGAACAGAAACTGAACTAAAAACTGGATAAAACCAAGGCTCTACTTTTTTTTAAGTGTAATGGAAAACACTGACACGCTTCCAGCGTCCACGCTACATGTTGTATCCTCTCCATCCCTCAGCATCAGCACCGCAGCCATAGCCCCTCACACAGACACATTCTAAACTTAAAAAGCAAACGCAGCCATAACTGCATAATTAATATTTAGTGAGCACACTTGATCATTAAACAGATAAACTGTTTGAAATTAGAACAAAACACATTAATTTGATAGTAAAAACGCGAGGATGCATCGGTATGAAGATTTGGGCCGATATCGATACTAATACCGCTGTTATGGCTGATAACTGATATTAACCGTTTCCCTACACAATATTAACAGATAACATTTGCATAAATCCCAAACGAAGGGGAAAGTATCCATGAAATAGCAGAATTTCAGAGTCATCGAGGCTCCTTTAATGATGTAATTTGGGTTCCATCCACTTGGGAGGTCTCGCAACGCACCGGCTGATGGAAGCTCTCGCTAATTAGCATTGTCTAGAGCAGACTTAAGACATTTACTTAAATATTTGCATCATTAAGATATAAACACACGCAATCACAGTCACCATCATCATCAACCCACACACACACACACACACACACACACACACACACACACACACACTCAAGAAGGGAACAGGCGGAGGGCCAGGAACAGACACAATCAAGACACACACACACTGCTGGAATTACAATGAGCGTTACAATCATTATCTCGTTACAGCCTCCAGTAGCACCATCATTGGCATTCAAGGACGGTTCTGGCATCTCGAGCACGCACGCTGTGCTCACCCACAATAAGCACAAACACACACACACACACCAGTTTAAAGACAACAGGAACGTGTTGGGAAATCTCTGGGTAATATCTTCATTGCTTGGTCTTACCTCTCCATTGAGATAGAGGAGGTCAAAGGCATACACGCACACTTGGACTTTGATCTCTGAGGCATCCACATCCTGCAGAGAAACATCAACACACACTCGTATTTCAGGATTTCTCCCGACGAAAAAATGCAAATAGGCACATCTTATTCACAAATTGCTACCACCAACCTTGGGACTTGTTGCAAAAAGCTCATTTGATTTCTCTCAGTTCATCTTGAAAGTTAACCACCAGCCTCCCCATCTTCTCTCTAGTCATTTTTTTTTAAAAAAAAAGCATGACACCTCCTCGGTGTGCTCATCGCTTTCTCCTGCTGTATGATTTCCTTCCTCTCCACTTACTCCGCTCTTCTTTTCTCCATCTCCTCCTCTCACCTTTCCTGCACCTCATCTTGTTTACAGTGCTCTTGCCTTTACCCCCACTGGTCCCTGCAACAGTCCCAGCCTTATTACAGCCGCCTCCATCAAGGCCCTGTTGTAGGACTTCTGCACTACAATGAAGCGCTATTGAATTTCACAGCAGCAGCTGGTTGTTGATCCATGTCTCTTCTGCTAAGATGCTGTTGTTTAAAACTTGTAAATCTTAAAATGCTACCCTGGCAGAACCAATACCAGCGCTGTAGCTAATCTTGTAGATAATTTTACATTAAAGCATCTCCACTGGAAGAGTCTTTGATGGGGGAAAGGGACCAGAAAAGTGCGCTAACTGGGTGGTCTCAGCCGTTGTGCTGAGACATCAGCATCGTGGCGGTCTCAGCAGTGAGTGACATCACTGTTCCGGGTCAAAAGCCACCCACATTGTTAACATTAAAGGCATTTTATTCTGTCAAAATATACAGTTTTCTATGCCATTCAGGGCTGATTATGATAGGTTACTTGGTGTTTCATGCAGGCTGAACATGAAAATAGTCTCCTACACCCATCTCCTGCTTTAGCTTCTGAAAAAAAATAGACGGTGAAATTCTAGGATTAGAAATCCTGACAGATCTACGTCACACCGTCACTTAACATTCATGGACTCACCCATCTTGACTCACGACGGGGAAGGCTGTTGTTGGTTTAGCGTCCAGGAAACAGCAGAGAATGTCTTGGCTAGTAGAAGCTAACCGTTAGCATTAGTACTCCGCCACAGAGCAGAGATCCTCCAGGCTTGTGTTATTTGTGGAGATAAAACATCAACGTTGCAGAAGTCAGTGGTAGAGTCGTGTTGCTGTTAGCCAATCAGAGGAGGTGTCCAAATTTAATACGAATTTGTGATGAAAAGTAAAACTGCAAGAGCTTTGACTTTAAATTATTTCATTGATTGTAAAATTATTTGAGGCTGAAATGGGAAAAAACATCCTACATTATTTTATGTGTTTGAGTTGAAACAATTGTTTGTAATGCTCTAATGACTATAGATGCTAATGCTAACACAAAGTGATATTTGTCTCCAATGAGTCCCCTTCCTATTTGAAATAATTCTCCTTCCTTCTGCTTCTTCATTACTTTCTGTTCATCAACTGCTTTTAATTAAAGCATGTTGGGTTTCCATCTCCTCACCTGAAGGTTTTTTAGCAGAGCAAAGAGCTAGTGGAAGTGAAACGGCAGAACTGTTGTCACAAAACACCAACGAGCCGGTGCAGATTGTGCATCAAGCCCTCGTTACAAATAACCATGATTGCACAACAGCAGCAAAAAGTCATTTTCATCATCTTGTTGACCGTTTCTGCACGGCCATTCCTCCTTTTCCCAATCCCCCCGGATGTCATCATGCATAACAGAAGACAAGGTGAAGGGAGCGGCTTCAGCCTAATGTGACTGGTGTAGTGCAAAGAGGCCGTTACTCTGATCAAAACTGAATAAACACCTCGCTGGCATTTTCAATCTCAACCCCTCCTTCTCGAATCATTTCACTCTTCTGTCTCGGAGCCATCAGTCTCCCACGGTATTTTTCTGTCCATCTCCCCGAGTCTGTCGGATCATTTCACTCAATTATCTCTCCCTCTCCCTCTTCAACCTTTAGATCTCCATCTTCTTCTTGTTTTCACTTCTTAACCTTTTCACACACTCCTTCACTCATTATCTCCTTCAACACAAAGCACATATTTGAATTTTCTTCTCCTTCAGTGACTTCTTCCTTCCGTGTTCGTACCTTCCTCTTACGAGTGGTGAGGACTTGGAAGGGTTGGATCTGTTTCTTTTCACGGTCCCAGGCCACCGCCTCAGAGTCCAGGACACAAGATACCACAGAGTCCTTCTTTACCTGTGGAAAAGAAGTGAAAGCAAAGACAAAAAGAAAATTTGAATATGGGGAAACGGAAAGCTGGTCATAAAAGTAATTTTACCAAACCAAGACGTTCAAACTCGATATGAAACTAAACTTAGACCTCCTAAAACCTCGCAAATCAGGCTGAGGGCATTTCCAGGCTTCTTCAGCACCTGTGGCTACCCTCAGTCTGCTGTCAAACACTTTGGAAATCAACACCAACGCTCTGCCTGTTGTGACAGGAAAGGAATAAATGAGACTGGAAATCCCATCTTGTGTATTTTATTGTTGTCCCCCCCCCCCAAACACACTTCATGAAGGATTGTTCTATGCCATCAGAGTTTGACACAGAAAGCTCAGGAGAAAATGGAGAAAATCACTTTTATAAAGATTAAGAAAACAGTCGCAGAGACAATCGGAGAAAAACTCGGAGCATTAGAGACCCAAATAGGACCAAAAATATGCAGATATTTGTGCAGAGTTCTATCTATATCCAATCCTTCTACATATGTTGCACGCAAGTTTAAAATCGGTCATGTGGAGCTGTGTGCCTGTGTGTGTATTTGTACCACTGGACAGGACAGATGTTACCGTTAGTCTCTGAAGGCCTTCCCTCTGGAGTTTAGGTCAAAAGATGTGATGTGTTTCAGAAGTTCACAATCTAGACTCAGAGGCAGAGATGAATTCTCCTCAGAGTTCATAAGAACTTCTCAGAAAACACGAATGATCATCCGAGTCTGATTTCAGTTGAGCAGAACATATTTGTTCTTTTTTTTTTTTCATCATTTACGGTTTACTTTGTTTTTTAAACCGGTATAAAACCCACTGGACTTAGATCACAACTGTTCTTAAAGGTCTGATTGACTTGTTATCCAATAAATGCTCTTTGGGCGTGGCTGCACACCCAAACGCATCAGACATTAGAATAAAAACCACAATAACAAGCTGTTTGGAAACAATCTTATTTTAAACCCAAGTTATACCCATGAGGTCATTAGGCTAAGTTATGCATTAATTACCAATTAATGGATCTGTATTAATATTTATGCATGGATATTAATTCATAATTTAAAGCATTAGAGCTCAGTGGGAGCTACAGAGAAATTAGTTATCCCTTATTAATATGCAAAATAATGCAGCAAGGTGCAGGAAAATCTAATCAGACTATCTCCTCTATGCTGGTGCGAGTTTTCACACAAGCATCTTTCATTTGTTGTGTTCACCGACAGACATTCTGCTATGAAAACATGATGTCAGGAAAAGGGATGCAATTTTAATTCAAGCAATTTCCTAAATCAATGATCTGCCACATTAACGATCAGTAATCAATTTCTAAAAATGAAAGCTTCATTCAAACAACTGACGGGAGTTATTTTCACGGCACAAATAAATTAAACACCATAAATTAAGAGTCATGAATCACACAAACAAGAAGATAATTTAAAGCCCGAATGGAACAGATTTGAATAAAGCCATCACTTAATTGCTACATCATTCCCACATAATGAAAATGAAGCCGACATTCTTCATCGTGTTTAACAACTTTTTTCACTCGGAGTCTAATAAGTCAGGCAGGAATGATGGTTGGAAATCAAACAGAGAGACAGTAAAGCAGAGAAATAAAGCAAAAGTAACATGAAACGCAGCAGAGTGTTGAGAGTGTGAGGCGCCAGAGAGGAATGAAAGACCAAGTTTTAAAAGAGAGAAAGTTGAACGAAAACAAATAATGAGAAGGGCGACAGATCAGGAGCTGGGGGGGAGGGTGGGAAAAGACATCAGTTGGGATCATTGGAGTAAAAGTGAATATTTAAGAAGTGAAGGAGGGTGGGAGGAGAAGGGTCTAAGAAGAAGAGACCAAAAAGGTGAAATTACAGGCAGGTAGCATCAAAGATGGAGAAAAATAAAGATGAGAGCAAAAGAGACTTGGGTGAATAACATGAGAGGGAAAAGAAAGACACAAGTACCGAGACAAAGAATAAGTACCATCAAGAAGTAATGAAGAACAAAGAGAGGAAAGATTAGACAGAGGCGAGGGGAGGAGACGAGGGGACACGGAGAGCAACGGGGTGAAAAGGAGAGGGAAGGAGTCATGTTGCCTTTAAAGTTACTGAGAAAAAGCTCAGAGAGAAAAGTCAGAGAGAGAAACGTTACAGGGCAGATGTTATGAAGAATGATTAGACTCAGAGGTGAGATGGGCTCAGGTGCAACATGAGCATTCAAGTCATGAATCCACGGAGCTGCTGGACTGCAGGGGGAAGAACAAAAGCATATTTGTTTTTATGCCAGGTCTGCTCGCTCATGTGAGATCTGCACAAGCAGAATCCTCAGAAACAATCACAAACGTACAGCATTCACTTCTACTTTCCAGGCAAAAAAGGAAAAACACCAAGCTGCAGCGTGGCTGTTCAGAATAAGAGGGAGCCACCAGTCCATCACAGGCACACAGAGACGTGAAAATATTCACAAACTCACACTTTTCCACCCATACCTACTCAGCCGCCTGACCCCCACACTGATCAGACCGGTTCCAAGGCATACCCACCAGTAATGGGTTCCAAGCGTGCCGAGTTGGGCCAAAAATGACTGTCGGTCGCTGATTGGTTAGGAGGTGGAGTTACTGGTTGCTCCAGAGCGTTTCACCTTGCTGCCCGCAGCCCTTTCTGGGTCTTTTCTTTTTGAAGTCTTTCAAAAGGACACTGATTGAACAGAACGTTCCAACCGGTTCATCCCGAATGTTCAACACCTCTACCATGTCCTCCACTGTTGTCTTGTGTTTGTGAGGTATACAGATCACCCAACGCCACGTTTCAAACTCCAGGGGCTACACAACCCAACACGCTAGACAAGTTCTTAGGTTGTAACGGAAAACAACCCGAACTGTGCAGAGCCGAGACGAGCTGCGCAGTAGGTACTAGCAGAAGAAGACATTTGATTTTTGGGAGGAAACTGGAGCACCAGAAGAAAAACCTGCGCATGCATGTGGAGAACTTGCCAACTCCACGCAGAAAGACCAACCCAGGATTCAAATCTGCAATCTTCTTGCTGCAAAGCAGCTATTTTACTGCACCCTCGCACAGCCCAGGATGTGAAACCATCACTAGACATCACAGCACAGAGCCCTCGCTCCAGCGCTGGACTCTTAAAACCCGCTCAGCCTTCTGAAGAAGCAGAAATGTGCGTCGTTCAGAAAGAATGTTGGGATCATTGGGATCTGAAACCAACACTGTTAAAAACAGTCCTTCTCCAGGCAACTTTTACAGATTTTGACAGTATAGACCTTTTTCATGACTGACTTAATTTAACAGTGATTGTATTTGATTAAGTGAGCTAGGTGAGAACTCTCTACACCTGCAGGAGGGACTTTAGGAGCTTCTTAATGTTGGTAATCCAATCAGAGCGTCTCCTTCCATGATGAGTCAGAAAGCCCCCCTAAAGAGAGACCGGGGGGGGGGGGGGGGGGGGGGGGTCCTGATCATCAGCGACTTAAACGGCCTGGTAAAACAAAGCGCCCACCCAGCAGAAAGTGTTTAATGTGAAGCAGTAAAAGAAGAGTTTGTAGAATAAATAACTTCCCATCGCTCCTATTAGTGATGTCAGTGAAGAAACAAATAAAGCTGGCATGCAATAGGACTAAAAATGATCTCCAAAGATTTAGTTAGGAGCTGCAACCAGCAGAGCTCAATATTTTAATATAAAGATCAGGATAATCAGGATTTAAAAGAGGGCCAACCTCATTAAGCTGCTGCTGTTTTTCTTTAGTAATTCACACAAACAGAAGGAGGAGGAGACTCAGTGATGGTCTGCACATCCCATCACACACACACACACACACACACACACAGTTATCTGATGTGAAGCTGCAGAGAGACAAGTGCTCACAGGTCAGCACAACTAAATGAAGCCATTACTGAACCACAGAGAGGATGTGTGATGAAGATTTTATCACTCCGGTTGACCTGCAACCTTAAAATCTGCATCCCTTCATGAAGACAATTAAAGGCGTCGCATCGGAGACCAAACATCTTTCAAACGATCCCTCTCTGACTCCGAATCACCGAGGACAAACTTGTCCAGGAGAAATGTTATCGACTGTTGAAACTATTTCCCAGGGACACATGATCAGTCGTTAAAAGCAGAAAAACACGTACAGCGTCGTGAATCCGGCATTTAAGTGGAGAGAAAACCACTGATGGAGTTTAGCTGATCCACACCTCATCGCTACGCATCCTCCTAGACTTTAAACGGTAACAAAAAGAGTCTTTGTTCCGATTCTGGTTTGAGGTGAAACTACACTTTTATTGACACATTATTATTAAAGGAATCATGTTTAATTTCTTTATTCTGCCGTAATGAGTGACTTACAGGCCTTCAAAGCACTGCTTACCCACAAGGTGGAAAGCGGGGTTAAAGACGACCACAGGCCAAAATGAAGAAAATATGGAGACACTGAAATACAGCGAGATTTCTAGTTATGATGCTACATACATTTTAATGCACTGTATCCATTTTGTACTGAGAATTTACAAAAACATTTGTTGTATTTCTTTTTTGTGGACCTATTGAAACTGACTGCTGGGTGGCAGCAGATTTTGCTGCCTTCATTCTGATGGAACATTAAGATCTTGCGATAACTGGGTGTGCCTTGCCTGAGTGGTGCTCACACCTCACCCCTGCCACATGGACCTCAAGGGATAAACCATCAATCCTGCGCAATGGTCAACTTTTCTCATGGGGTCACCCATAAAGACAGTGGGAGGGTAAAGTATTGGCTTTTTAAAAGTACTCTAAACCTGTAGCCTTCTTTTAGAGCACATTTTTAAACTGTTGCTGTTTTATTTTTTAACTGATTTATTAATAACATTTGATCCCTAGCCACCATTTCTCCTTTTACACTCTGAAATACACTGTGATAAATCCACTAAAAGACACTCCCCCAGACAAATCTGAAACGGTTACACGATTCAACCACCTGCTCTGATTAGGTGGGAATTTATTTTAAGGTACAGATATCATCTGTTCACACAATCCGGAAAACGAAAGAAAAAGACAGATGAGACAGACGGATTCATGTGGTACTTCACTGCAGTTCGATGCTACGGCAGGAAAACACACTCAGCAGGCATCGAAGCAGCACACGCGTTCAGATAACCTCAGGCAAACAGCCAAAGCCTCAGGTGGTTGTGATCTCTTTCTTGCTCCCCACACAAGGAGATTCTCACAAATTTAACAAACCTACCCACAGCTTTACTTAAACCACTGGTGGTCTTGACATCTATAAGAAACTTGAAGTAACTTTGCAAGCTACTTAGGAAATTCCCCATCTTTGTGCATTAAAGGGCTTTTTATGACCAGTCAAAGCTCTTGATGTCTGCAGGAAGGCAAAGGAGCAAGCTAAACTTTGATGAAAGGTGTCAAACTGTGACACGTGGGCCCAGGGAAGTGAAAGACATGAGACTAAGGTTGACAAAAGCTGGAAAAATAAAAGAGGGAGCAAGATGAATGCGTTCAGCTTTCATCCACGCTGCTGTAAAAGCCCTCATTTGACAATCACAGCACAGACCCACTCTCACCTCCTCCCCAGGGCCGAGCCGCGGAGCGCTATGCTGACGTATTTTACCTTGGGAATGCGAGAGACGATATCGGGGTATTTGCTGGTGTTGTCTTCCTGGTTGCGGCTGAATATCCGAACTTCACCACCCTCAAGAATGTGAATCTGTAGAGAAAACAGAGTCGGTGAATGCAAAATGCAAAAACCTTTGTCTCATAGAAGTCCATGCGGCAATCCTGGGAATAAAATTGTGCATGACAGATAAAAAAGTAAAGGAATGTACTCAAGCTTACAGTTAGTGCTGTCAAAAGCCCCAGAGACTCACACGTGTAGACGCATGAACCGCTGTAAAGTGTGTGGCGAGGCAATTAAGCTTTGTTGTTAGGATGTCTACAAAACAATCAGCCTGGTGTCGGACTACAAGACTGCAATGAGGCGACAAGCTGGACCTCAGCCAGTTACCTCCATCTTTGATGACTTGAATAGAAGCATGACCATTAAGGACTATTTACTGTAACACTGACAGAAAATATAAATGTGTCTCCGAGTTCCCGTCTTAAGTCTTTACAGAACGTTTGCAAATCATTTTACAATTTATGTTTAAATTGGTTGAAAATGTTGATAAACCAGTGATTCAAACACTAAATTTTAAATATATTCCCAGTGAAAATCTGGCTGCCCTTTATCACGGATTCTGTTTACACACTTTTCTTTGTGGACAGGATTTCTAGGCACAGCCAAGGTGTTGAGATCTGCTTTTTGCAGATGACATGGTCCTGTTGGCTTCATCAGAACGTGTTTTAATCGAGAGGTTCGCAGCCGAGTGTGAAGCACCTGGGATGAGAACCAGCTCCTCTAAATCCGAGACCACAGTCTTGAGTCGGAAAAGTGTAGAATGCCTTCTCTGGGTCAGGGAAGAGGTCCTGCCTTGAGTGGAGGAGCACCTCTGGGTCTGGTTTGCGAGTGAGGGAAAGATGAAGCGATAAGCAAATTGACATTGTGTTTACAGTGGTGCGGTCTTTTGCATTGGAGGGAGAGCTCAGCTTGATGGCAAAACTCTCGATTTACCAGTCGATCTACGTTCTCACCCTCATCTATGGTCATGGCTCACGAGCTTTGGGTGGTGACTGAAAGAATGAGATTGTGGACGCAAGTGGCTAAATGTATTTTCTCGGCAGGGTGTCTGGGCTCTCCCTTAGAGATAGGATGAGAAGCTCGGACACATGGGACAGGCTCAGAGTAGATCCTCTTCTCCTCCGCATCGTGAGGAACCAGTTGAGGTGGCTTGGGTACCTGGTTAGGAAGCCTCCCTGGTGAGGTTTTCCAGACACGTCCAACTGCGAGGAGGCCTAAAGGAAGATCCAGGACACGCTGGAGGGACTATGTTTCTCAATGGCCAGGGAACGCCTGGGGATTCCCCTAGAGAAGCTGGCTGGTGAGAAGGCAGTTTTGGCCTTTCTGCTTAGACTACTGCCTCCACGACCCGACTCCAGACAATTGGATGAAGATGGGTGGATAGATTTAAAAATGGTGAAACTTTGATAGCATTTCTAATATATCAGCAAAACAAGCGTGTGCTTGAGGGGTGAACCAATGCTTCCACCCATTCTGGCATCTTCTACCCAGGGCTCTCATCTCATTTGGTGTGGTGAGTTTGATTTTACCATGAAACTTATTCTTAAAGGTCCTCATTTAACTGCAACAGAAGGTGCTGCAACTGGGAGTAACTATGAACTGCACACCTTGTTATTAACAGGCAACCTGTTCAGTCACCTGAGATGAAGGTGAGGTTTGGCACCTGTGAAGTTGTGTGTGTGTGTGTGTCAGTCTGAATAATTTGCTTCAGACCAGAGCTCTGCGACATGTGGCTTTTCGGCCAATCTAAAATTTCTCCTTGTAACTTTAGTCAAAAATGGCATGAAACTGAGTGATGTTTACATTTAAACTGATAGCAGCATCCCTGAACGTGTGTTTTTATTTTTGCATGCAAGCAAATTGAGTTTGTAATAACATAAGCTAGGCTGTCTTGCTTTGAAATGATTTAACTTCTAGCGAATGCAGCTTTCTGTCATGTCAGAGCACAAAGATGTTGCACTTATGGAAATGAACAGTTTACAGAATCCACTTGTGCTGCAATATAGACAATTATTTATTTTGCAGTGAAAAATAATTACAATAGGATGCGTAAACATGCTTTCATGGTTTTGATTTTCAATGATTTTAAGGTGCAACCTAATGTCACATTTACAGTTTTACTCGTTTTCTACTAATCATGTAAGCTGGTAGTTCTAAACAAATTCACATATTTTTTTCTATTTAAAGGTTCAGCGGTTTTCGAGGCTCTATACAAATTCTATATGGTTGGTAAAAATGTTGGATTCCTCGGCTTTAGATCTATTTTAAAGGCACATTTTCCACATTTGACCTACTGCAACAGTCTGCTCCTTTACAGACAAATTTCTTCCTTAATTGTCACAGACTCAAACCTAAAAATTCATAACAGAGAAGCAAACAGATGCAGAATAACTGAATGACAAGCTTCCACACAGGAAGACACTGAACCTAACACACACACACACAAACACACACACACACACACACACACACACACACACACACACACACACACACACACACACACACACACACACACACACACACACACACACACACAAACACAGAGCACTCAACTAAGTGTATCACGAGTCCCCCTGCTGGTTGTTTGTGGTAAGCTCCACTGAAAAGGGGAAAGAGAAAACGTCACCGTCTCGCTGCTTCTATCCAGCTCATTTTCTCTTCCCCACATTCAGTTCAAAGGAACTTTATTGGTGTGACTTTCCAAAATTACAAATACAGCTGAAGGGGCTCACTTTGCAATTTTCTCTTAGAAATCCCTCATCCCTGCGCCGTCTTCTGTTGTTTCTCCTTCCCTATGATGTGTCCATCTCTAGCCTTTATTCTAACCGATCTGCATCTCTCCCATCAGCCACCTCTACCCTCACCAACAGTTGCAGCAGTATCTTACTCTGCACACAGGCCAGCTGTAAAAGCAGCACCACTTATCTTAAAAAAAAAGCATCCAATCACAGCTAAGCAGCAAGACCTCATCAGGAATTTGCATGCAAAATCCAGAAAACACAAGTTGAGAGCCTAAACAAGTGGTAAAAAGATGCTCTCCATCACTTTGGCATTTCCGTGCACAAACCTGTGCACGTTCCCCATCGTATTTATACTCGCAGGTGAACGCTGCCTCGTCAAACCTCTTCATCACCTCCCCGACACCCTTGGTGGGATGAGCCAACATGGGTCTCAGCGGTATGCCTGTAAGACGAAGGATGGTGTGAAAAAGTGGCGGAAGTAAAAAGAAAACAGCCATGAAATGTTCATGAATTATTAATAGTCAAAACAGTAATTGTTAATTAGCTCAGGAAAAATACTCTCTAGTGGCGAGGAAGTGCGACAGAACCGGTGCTAACAGGCCTCCGGGTTACAGGAGCGAGGCAGTTCTCAAATTTGTAAAAATATAAAATAAAAACACTCCAGAGCTGTGAATGTTCTTCTGTGACACATCCGTCTGTGAAACACCAACACAACTCCCACAACTGTTTGTGTGACAAAACCGCAGCAGAAAAAGTTATTTGTGTTCATTTTTGGCTCCAATATTAAAGTCCTCTGACTTCCTCAGGCAGCCGGGAGAAACTTCAAAAGAATCGGGGATGATATAATAAAAACGTTCAAAACAAATTCCTTCAGCTGCAGAACAAGGAGCTGGTATGAGATGACTGCTCTGTTCCAACTGGTGCTATTGATTAAAATTACCTTGCACTTCAGAAACAAGCTGCTCAGAATAACAAACAATTAAACGGTTTACCTAAGTGGATAAAAACAAATTTACTTTGACAGTTTAGCATCGTGCAGACGGTGTTTAGTTTTCATTTTCCACCTTGGTGTCAAAAAAATAATAAAATCAAAGTTTAGTGGTAAACTTTGGAGATAATTATTTCATAAAACTGACTCAATGCCACTGAATCAATCATAAACACACTAAAGTAACCGTTTTAGACGCTTTCAACCTCCGGGCTGCTGATTGGCCGCTCACCTGGAGTAAGCTTGCAGTGATTGGGCAGCTGGTCGATGCCTTCTTTTAGCAAAACAGGAATGATGACGTCGTAATTGGGCATCTCGCTGCACAGGAGGTGTTGTTGGAAGGAAAAATAAAATCAATATTTTCCAAAGGACTTAAGGGTGATGCATTGCAGCAGCACCAGAGAGAGACAGCAAAGTGAATCTGGGGAATCGGGTCCGGGCCTCGCTCACCAGTATATTTGCTTTAGAATGAGGCTCTTCTCTTCGATCCAGGCCCGCCTGCTTTCAGCGCTCATGCCTTTCCCTGCGTCAATCACAGCAGGAGGGAAACCTAAAAAAAAAAAAAACTGTTTCTAAAAGACCTACGTGAGCATTGGAAATTAAGAATGATCAACATTTGTCCAAACAAAACAGAGAGGCATCTGAAAGCGTCGGGAACATCCGGGTACGTCAGCAGATTTATGGCTTTCTCATAAATAATTTACACTTTAGTACGAGTCAGAGTTTGTTCGAAAAGGTCAAAATAAAGACAAATAACACCCAAATAATATCACATTAATAATTATGTTTGAATTATGACTGAATAAAAAATTAGGAGGAATTATTCATTGTAATGATTCATGACCACCCAGATAAAGAATTATTTAAAGAACACTGAAATAAAAGGCAACATTTAAAACACCAGACCTCTCAACGTTCCTGCTTTAATTAACTTTAACGCACCTTCAGTCGTGACTAAACAAGACTTTTTTTAAAGGTTGAGATCGAATCCGTCCAATTGTGAGTGTGTGGTGTTGGTGAGAGCACGCTGGCGTGGTGCCAAGAGCACGTGGTGAAAGATGGGCTGTCAAAACGTGCGTTTTGTTAAAAAAGTGATGAATTTAGCAGCATTATTAGAGAAAATATGCTCCTCGTGTCAAATGACACACCACAGGCTTGTTTTCACATACATTGGTGGGCCGTGTGATTGGATACCAGCGTTAACTTGTTAAATAATAGTAATCTGATATTTCACAGAGCTAATTAGTGCAATGAATATTTTAACACAGATTTTAAATGTAAAATCTAAATAAAGCACCGCTCCACTCCACCCTCCTGTTTGTGTCGCTCTCTCTTGTTGCTTCTCTCGCAGGGGTATTTAAACCTAATGGATCTCGCTGAAGTGTGTCACTGATACAAATGTTAATCTAAATAAATGACAATGTTTTTATGAAGTATAGAAAATGTTGTGGAGTTTAAGTTTAGGAGGTCTGAGGAGAAAGCGGCTCATTGTGAGGAAAGAGGGATCATAAATCACGCTGAAACAAATCCAACACCGGCAGCCAATCAGAATGAAGGACTGCGTTGTACTGAAAGTCCCACTTTTGAGTTTAGAGTCGATAAACAACCTTCTCCTCCAGCGTGATGCCCCCTCGCCTTGTCCTACTTGTTTTGTTAGCAGGCAAAAGCTCCAAACGCATGAAGCTGCTTAACTGTTACGATTTTTAAAAAGAAGAGAAGACAAACGGCACGGCGCTCCTACTCGTCGTTTTTCCCTCTGCATGAGAAGATGAATGGTCCACACTCATAAAGCACCTTTTCTAGCTTCAGTGGGGTTCTTAAAGAGCTCTTTAAAGTGTTTCACATTCACCTTCTACTTTATATTTCCACTCGATATCTGCTGCGCATTTTTAATTCACACTTATGTGCCTTTGAGCCATGGAGGGTGAGGGTGGACGATACGGCTCAGAAGTCATGACATTTCAGAGAACACCAGGTCTCTATGAAATCCATTTTAATTTCCCAAATTCAGATTTTTCTGTTAAATTATTCTGAATTCCGCATTTCCTTCTAAACATGATTAACAATAAACAAATCAGTCGCCACAGAATTAGAATGATTGTTATTTTCCAAATATGACAAAGCGCTGTGGTTCTGCAGGACATTTGGTCTTTTCTGAGCTGTAGTGACTCTACAACCCAACTTTTATTACCTTTGGTGCAGTTTAACAGGGCAGAGACGACTTTTGGACGTGATCTCCATCACTTCCAATGAATGGTGTCTGCTTAAAGGCTTTTGCGAACATCAGGAATGGTTAGGGCTAACAGGAAGTGGTTACCTTGTCCAGGCGGAGTCAGACAGACAGCTTGGCTCAGGGCAGAAAGCACGCTCTGCTCAGCAAGGCCAATCCTCAGCTTCCCAGCAAGAGACCTGCCCACCAAAACATCAGCAAGGAGGCTCTATTACAACTGAACATGATGAGCGTCACACACGGCGAGCTGGGAGGCCATTGGATCGTTTGTTCGCGTGGTCACACAAGCACAAGTGTTGAGTGTGCATGTGTGTGTGAGTCTGAGTTTACCTGACTATGTAGCGGGCCTCTGAAAAGCGGCATGCCACAAAGAGGCCTTTGATGATGTCGATTTTCTTATTCATGGCCTGAGGCGGGCGGCAGGAAATTGAGATTCACAGAGGAAGAGAGAGAAGAGACAGAATGCAGAAAGACTGGGGTTACCAGCGAGTACAAACACGCAAAAACCACCCACCGGTAACCAGGCTGAATGAACTAAAAGCACAAGAACATTTCCAGCAGGGTGGCATCTGCCTCAAAAACTGAACAATTAACCTCCTCCTCTGAAGCAGATACTCATAATCACATCAACATCTTTACTTTTCCCACCCTGGCCGCTGCGCAACGATGCAAACAGTGTGAAAACATTTTCCAAAGCCTATTTGCCACTAATGAAAATGTTATTCTGAGGCTCACCGAGTTCCCACTCATGCTGGCAATTTCCTTCAATTTCCTGAACACACCCCCTGCAGTCAGGCTGGCCGGTTGGAACATCATGCGTTGGTTGCTACGGGAACTCTCGGCCACAAGGCCCAAATCTCCTTTCTCCTGCGCCTCGGATTTAATTTTGTCCAACTGTCGCCCTGGTAACAAGAACGAGGTGATTAACAGCAGCCATCTCTTTGACTGATGAGCACAGAACGTCTGCATTCAGTGTTTGGTGGCGTTCGTTACCAGTTGCTTGAGCAACGGCTTTCATCAGCACCATTTCTCCTACACCAAGCTCCATCCCGAGGTAGGCGGGGCCCAGCTGGTTCAAGCACAGGTACACACAGCACAGGAGGTCATCTGGGAGGAGGAACAGCACACAAAAGAAGTGTTTTAGGCAGGAAAAATACACACCGAAGTAGGGGCAGACTCAAATAAAAACAAGTCAAAAACAAACAAACTGAAACAAGCAGAAACCCATCATAACAACATATGAGCACAAACTTCATCCCAATCCAACAGGAAAACACACACAAACACACCGAGCACTTTTATGTGCAACCTGGCTTCCACATCCTCCCCTTGATGGAGTGGCTGGCAGCCAGCTGACTGCGTAGCTGCATCAGCATGCATTACAGCAGAGCTAAAGCAGCGTTTACCTGGAGAGAGCAGCAGAACAGAGCGAAGCAGGTTTGACAGCGTCTCGATGTTTCTCAGCCTGCAAAATGACAAAAGGATAGACGAGGAGAACCAGTTAAATGAATTTCAAGCCCATCCTGTAAATACGGGGGGAAATGAGATTTGTCTGGGGGGTTTAATCCTTAATGGGACCTGGCGAGACAGATTAGGAGCTCATTTGTGAAGCGCTATACGTCAGTTTCAAACACTGAGTCATTGCTTAGGCGTTTGTCAGTCAACGTATTTAGAAGATCAAAGGGAAGTGAGTGCTCATCAGTCAGGGAGCAAAACTTAAATTATTATAATTATTTTTCTAACAAAAGTGTCTGTTTGACTGTTTTTATTCCATTTCTGAAGAAGGTGTGATGAGCTGAGATACAAAACTGCCTGAATATCAATCTAATCCCTTTAGTTCACCAGCTAACTGAAACATGTGGCTTTGTTTTGGAGATGCCTCTCAGTGTTTTAAAGACCCGGACTGTAACACCTTTACTTGTTTACTATCAAACGTCTACAGTGTTTCATCTTGAAATGTCTGCAGCTGTGGTGCAGGGTGGATTGTAATACGGTGGCTGTTTAGGGACATACAAGATAGGGCTGGGTAATAAATCAAAAATGTATTGTTATCAATATTTCTGACTCTTATCGAGATCATTTTCCCATGTCAATAAATTTGATAATTAAAAATGACAAGATGTGTGTAGGTTGGCAATGTTCAGGTCCCTTTAAAGACACGGAGCCACTAACAAATACACGCACACACAGGCTCACAACGACATTGTGACATCATATGGTACCAGCTAACGTTGTAGGGTACCTCTTAGCCAATAGCGATGGCAGATTTAAATTCAAATGCAGTGCAGAGTTTTTACCTGACAACGGCACAACACTGACAGTTTTAGGTAGAATATTTACATTTTAACTAAAATGCACTAAAGTGAAAATCTATTGACTACACGTCTCTGCAGCACGATTAGTCACACATTTATATAGTTTATCAGGACAAAAAAGTTGATTTGAGGGTGACTTGCTCTTTAAGAAGCTGTACTACCTTGAGTCACATTTTTATGTGACTCAATGTAGTGCATGTGACAGCCCCATCTATTGGACAACTTTTGTTTCTGCACATTCCTGTAGTTATCGTCCAATTATCATTATCAAGGTGATATGGATATTAGGCCACATCACCCAGTCCTAATACGAGATTTAATGCTCCATTTTACGCTTTGACATGATGTAACCTGAATACAAACAGCAGGGGCAGAAGTGGATCCATAAACCACTGTTTTACTTGATTAGTTTGAATAACAGTGATGACATATTACCTTTTTGAAGCGTGTGGGCTACCATAGATGCAATACTAACTCTGAACTGAGCGGTGCTAAAGAATCAGAGGCCTTGGTAGGCCTGGCGCCTTGCTTACAAGGACATGTCCTTCCTTGGTCAAAAAAAAAACGGTTAAAAGGAATAGATTTATCTTACGTGACCGCGACTCCTGCAGCGGTCAACTGAGGTAAAGTTATATTTTATATGTTTAAGTTTCAATAGAGAGGTATAACGAGCCTTTTACTTCTTAAATTGTGCATTTATTGGTTAAATTAAATATGTAAGTGAGTTACTACCCGTTAGCTACAGAAGCTGAAACTACTAAACAACTAACCAACCATAGCTAACCGCTTTGGATCTAAAAAACATTTGAGATATCAGCCCGGGAGCTACAATTAGTTGACATTTAAACCGAAAACTCCTTTAGAAATACTGCGCTGTATTCTGGGAAACTTCTGACCCAGAGAAGGCAACAAGGCACCTGGCATGTACTCTTGCTCAGTTAGCAAAACGGCTAACAAACGAAGGATGGACGCCTGGGAAGCACATGAACACTGGAACATGTGTTGGTGGTTCCTGATGACATATCTCCTAGGCAACCGGGGCAGGACCAAGACATCAAGATGAGATTCATTGACATTGAGAAACGCCCAAAAATTTTCAGACGCTGGAGCTTTCAAGTAGCTTTCTGGAGTTTTCCCCTTTCAGAAATTATGTATGATTTTTCAGAAATTTGTAAAAGTGATTATCTTATCATGTAATGTGTTATAATGTAAACAATAAGCCTTTTTATTTTTTTTGCTAAGCATGCCCTCTGCCCCACGGAGCTCTGTGCAATAGGAAACTGAGCACCGACCAGAACTAACCAATAGCGTTACCGCGTGTCTTACAACAGCAGTATTCTTATTTCAGAAATAATTAGATTAAAATGTCCAGAAAGACATGAGACACTATCATCTTTTAACATTTTTAATATATTTTAAAAGTCCATTAACAGACGTGTTCTAACATCTAATTGAAAAACGCAAGAAACCTCGGACTTGGTTGTCCCCTAAAAAAATGTTGGTCCTCTGGTGCCGCTGGGCTAAATGATCAAAACAAAGTTTTAACAACTAGAAAATTAATCCAAATTACCTAATTTTATTCTGCTAATTCCCTGCAGGACTGCAGAAATGTTTGGACATGTGCTTGTATCCCCTCCTTCACACAGTGATGCTTACTCCCTGCTTTTCCCTCCATATGGAGCTCTTACCTGCCAGAGTCCTGTTCAATTTTCTCAAAGGTGCGAGCCACTGCCAAGTACGGCACTCTGGAGAGAGATGAGCACGTAGTTAGCAGACAAAGTTTAGACGCCGACAGGTTTTCTTACATTCGCGGCATTTAGCTGACACGAACATTCAGAGCAACCTGCAATTAGTGCAGCAGGAGGACGGGCTTTGATACGAGGTTATCAAGCTGCAAGGAATCATGAGCAATGACGACAAAAAAGGGGGGTTGATTCCCAAGTGAGATCCAAATGCTTAAATAAACATGTTTTCTTTTAAATCTGTTTGCAGCTTTAGAAAATCTTACTATTTATTCAGTTTTAGAAGATAAATGACACCATGCAGAAACTCCCATGAGTTTTAGTACTTCTCATCTCTTTTCTCTTCATTAATCAAAGTCTGGCAACCAAAAGACAGGATTGGAGATAGGAGTTGACAGGGTTATAAACAAAAAAATGTGTTCCAGAGTTGCTTTGACGTGCAGCAGCAATAAATGAAAGATTCCAGTATGGTGCCCCATTTATCCTGAAGTTTCAGGGGATGAGTGACTTACTTCTGGCCTTGTTTCCAGCAGGCGTGTTCTACCGGATGGTAGTTTGGCCTGGATGGATCATAGTCCGTTTGTTCTGAGGTGGACTCACTGAAAGAACAAAAAAAAAAAGTCTTAAAGGAAAACCTGTTCTAGCTCTGCACAGCTAGTCGCTTCATCACTGAGGAGATGCTTTTATTGTAAGAGGCACACAAGTTACCAAACATCAGGACTACTGGACAACAACTCAAGTTTAAAAATAAAATAAATGTCTTTCTGGTTTCTAAGAAGACACAAGATGACCCAGTAAAGTTTATACAAAAATAAACAAACAGAGTTTCTAGAGTTAGCGGTTGTTGCTCCAGCTAGCTTGCTGCATCTCCGTCTCTGATGCGTCCGGTCGATCATGTGCCGACAAAACTTACAGAAGTTTCCTTTAGTTTCATAAAACTCTCATCAGTCAAAAATCTGTTCATGTTCTGCACTAAACTTTGCATTTATTTTTTTAGATGGATGCTGGTTTGTCAACAAGCTTTTTATCCATGGCTGACTTGTTTTTCCTGCTTGTGTGGAGAGAAAGATGTGACCTGGTGACAGGTACAGAGGCCTGCAGCGGCCAAACTACCTAAGAAACTACCATGCATCTTTCCCTACTGCCAGCTCTGAGTAAATACAGTGCGATTCCAGCCATGTTTGCCTTATTCTTACTCTAATTTCCCTCTGGGATTAATAAAATATCTTTGAATTTGAACTGAATTGAATTATACAACTGTAACAGCTCAGCGCTGCGTGACCCACTTGGACTCATAAATGCCATGTAATTAGAATAGCATCAAATAGTTTTACCAGAAGTTTACAATATTATCATAAATGATATAAGGTCCACCACTAGTTGCCACATAAACATGGCTGCGTGACATCTAAAGTGTGTAGCTTGACTCTTACGCCGGGGACACACCGGCCGCGGAAGCGCCGCGAAGCACCACGAAAATGGGACCACCTTCATTCGGCGCCCTTGTTAAGCTATTCTATAGACCACATGGGCCGCCGAAGCACCGTAAATCGCCTCGCGCCGGCGCTCCAGCCCGCGCCGTGCAGCGATCATTTCGGCGTCTGCTCTATTTTTTCGCGAGCCGCGGGTGAATCGCGTCAATTCTGGCAGGAAGTTAAACCTAGACATAAGAGGCAGGCCGGTAAATTTAACTAAATAAAGCATTTCAAAATAAAATTCCGCAATAGTCAAATGTGTTCGTAATCAGCCACTGCAGAAAAACCACACGAACACACACACACATCAAACTTGTGTGCGTGTGTGACCACATGAAGGGGGTGTGGTTTTGGGTGTCTTTTATCCGGAGCAAACAGGACAGAGGGGCAGAAAGTCTGAGGCAAGCAGTTAAGATGGATGACTTTAAATTAATTATGGAAGTTGAGAAACACAAAGAGCTGTACGACCCCCGAAAAACATGGTTACTTACGTACCCATTTCAGAAGAAACTGCTAGGATACAGCTGCAGAATTGGAGCGGGTTCAAAGAGATTCAGCTGGCAGAAACAACTGGTTCATACCATAGGTTCACACACACACGTACAAACACTCAAACGTACAGGAAAAGAGCTGAGAAAAGGCAGAGAGGAAATGGAGGACACCAAGTGTTTAAAAGGAAAAACTACAGCTGTGCCGAGGCGCGCCTCGACTGGGGCGCGTCTGATCTGAACTGAGGAGCGGCGAGCAGCGGCCGAATTTCATGAGCGATTCGCTTCTCGGCGCTTCCGCGGCCGGTGTGTCCCCGGCGTTAAAGGGATACTAGGCAGTTGTGGCTTGCTTTTAGCACCCCCTAATGTCTATCTAGTAAAACCAAAAGTGAAACTTATCTTTGCTGTGCATTCGTATTTTTAACATGTCAAAACCTTAAACCTTAACAGCTGAAGTGTCTCCTCAGCCTTCATTAGTTCCTACAGGAGTGCGCCATCACTGAATGAAACAAATCAGCTGTGTTCACGATCTATACTATGCAGGAATCGTGCTGGAAGCTGAGTCCAGCGCTGGCGTGTCAACTCCACGTTTATTAAGTCCAACAGGAGATGGCTCACCACTCTGAAGTTGCAAGTGCAGTATTCTGGCCACAGAGGGGCTCAGAGTGACATTTCATTAACCCTGTAAAGAGTCACTTTAGCATTAAGTGGCTCAAGAAAATGATTTAAAAATATGAAAAAGTTGCATCGTACGGCTTTAACTGTTGTTCTGTAACTACTTCAAGTGGGGAAAAGTATCGAGTTTTGGTCCACTTCGCCCAGCTCAACACGCATGTTTCTGGTCTGTAGGAGGAAACCAGAGCACCTGGAGAAAACCCACACATGCCAATGCCACAGCCAGGATTTGAACCTGCAGCCTTCCAGCTACACAGCAACAGTGCTACCAACTGCTTACAGAGATGAATAATTTTTCCACTTTGCAGCTTTGAAAGTTACAGCGACCTCAAAAAGAAAAAGGATTCAGATTGGATTGTGGCTCCCTTTTTGAAATCCTTCTTTTGTTTTTACAGATTTAGATGTTTTTTGCTCAGTGAAGTTACAGAAAAAAACTAAACGCATGGGGTCAAGCGTTCTGGTGTGGCCTTTTGCAACTTATTTACACCTTTAAATGTTTGTTTGTTGTTTGATTACTCACTGCACAGTAATTTAAAGTGGCTGATGGCACAGGTAATCACATCACATCACGAGTTTCTCCCCTCAGGCTAAACAGAGACGTTACCATAGGAGCAGCGCTGCAGAGGCTCCCCAACACAAACTACTATTGATTTCATCGTAGAGAATGACTTTCTGTAACTTCATTTATTTTCTAAATATAAATGTATTTTATTTTGAGGACATTTAAAGTGGTAGGGGTGTGGATGCTCTACATTTTTCCCCCCGATTTCTGTTTTTAGTCCCTGAAATATTATGCTAAGGTAACTTATTGCAGTTTAATAAACAAAATTTTGAGTTTAGTAAAAATAGAACAGCTGTTTTATTTACACAGACTTGGGAGCTGCTTGTAGATTCATCTTTTTGTTTATCTGTAAAATGTGAATTTTAAACTTTAGGCTGAGAAAATTAAAGTACGGTGGTAAGAAGTCAGATCGTAGACAAACAGAATATTATTAGAACACCTGTAGAAGCTTTAGAGTCAACAAAGGTAAAAGATTTAAGGTCAAAGGTTGGATAAAATGTTCAAAGAGAAAAATGTCTGAGGTGAAAAGGACTCAACAGAAAACTTTAAGCGATAAACTTTGTGGGATTTTCATCCATTCGGCTTTTTGAAAACGCCTTCGAGAGCGTTTAGTCGTAATCTGCCCAACCTTTTTCTGTCTTTGCGCTCCTCCTCTGAGCTCTTCCTCTCCATCTTCTTCTCTCCTTCATTCGTCTCAGTTTTTTCTGTCTTCGCTGCAGCTTTCCTGGGAGCTGTTAACAAAAAAAAAAGGGAGGCGAGGGTGGAGCAAGGGGTTGGAGACAGGAAATATTTTCTCCAGCTGATAAAAGCAAAACACATTTTCAGGGTCGCTGATGCAAATTCCCGCCTCACCAAAGAAACTGCTGATTGGGGCTTTTTTGGCAGGCTCCTTATCTTTCTGCTCCTTCACCTCCTTCTGCTTTTGACTTTTCGGGCTCCCCGTGTCTTGCGTGTCCTTTTCAACCACCTCCTCTTTGGCGACAGTGGGCCCTTTCTCATCATCAGTCTTCTCCTTCGCTCCAGTTTTCTTTTCCGCCTCCTCAGCTTTCTTTTCTCTCTCATCAGAGCTCCTTTTCTTCACCTGCTCCTCCTCCTTCTTGGCCTTCTCTGCTTCTTCTTTCTTTTTGTTCTCCACCTCCTCATCTGGGCTGTTAGCCTCAGTCGCTGCCTTTTCAACCCTTTCTTCCTCTGCTCCCTCCTCCATGGGTTCATCGGTGTTCCCTACACAGGGGAAGACAGAAAGGGAGTGGAGTCATTGAAGACATAAATGCCAGCAGGTTTACTGAAGAGCAACTTTTCTATTTTTTGTGAGACCATTGTTTGAAGCTGCCTTCAACCTAACAGCCTTCTTCAATAAATGCCGCAGGTGATATTTCTGAGCATTCCTTTTCACCCGAGACAGTCAGGTAGGAGGGAAAAAATTACTATTGACAAACTTGTAGCACCGAGTCCCAGCAGACAGAGGAGGTCATGACACTGGCTGGCTGAGGAGCCAGCCATAAAACTTTAATATTCTCACACGTACATTAAATTAAGTCCTGCACTGTTGCATCCAACGCTCTAGTTTAGAACAGAAAACGGTTTCTCCACTAGGACTTTATTCTCATTACAACAGGGCTCTCCTTTTAAATAGGTTACTAGTTGATCTTTAACAGTAAGAACTCATTAATAAGTGTTTATTATGCGCTCATCAAGGGTGAGAAAAGACAAAACAGATGGGTTTCTTGCTAAATAGTGAGCACATTTTGGTTTACCTATGTATTTTACCTAAAGCTGCTATTAGGGCTTGGTAAAAAAGAAAAAAATCCTATCAATATCTTTTATTTCAGTCAGTATATATCATTATATAATGGATGCCTGGGTGTTCACAGTCAACTGAACTGGTCTGACAACACAGATGCTCTGAAGGGCCAAAGCTGCCTCCACCTCCTGAGGAGGCTGAGGTCCTTCGAAGTTAATTCCCAGCTGCTAAAATCCTTTAAAGACTCTGTTGTTCTCTCTGCTGTGGTCTGTTGGGGTGCAGGCAGCTCTGACTGAGACAGAAAGAGACTGAACAAGCTAGTTAAAAAAGCTAGCTCGGTTCTGCGCTGCCCACTGGATTCTGTGGAGGACGTGTGGACAGCTCCTTCAGAGGCAGACTGAGACACCCAAGATGTACAAACACAGAACGCTACCGTAGGTCATTCATCCCCTCTGCAGTACTATCACTGTCACCCGCTACCATCAGAGAAGTGAAATACCCAGGATGCACATTTGTAAACGGCCTGTATTTGTATAGCGCCTTACCCCCGAAGGCGCTTCACAACACAATCAGTCATTCACCCATTCACACACCCACGCAGGTGGGGATGAGCTACGATGTAGCCACAGCTGCCCTGGGGCGCACTGACAAAGGCGAGGCTGCCGAACACTGGCACCACCGGTCCCTCCGACCACCACCAGCAGCAAAGCAGTTTAAGGGTCTTGGACACAGCAGCAGGATTCTCTGGTCAGAGCCGGGATCAAACCTGCAACCTTCTATTACTTGACAACCCACTCTATTTTCCTGAGCTACTGCTGCCTGTGTCTTTGTGCAGTTTCTTTGTGAAAACTAATTATCTATTTCCTGTTTATACTCTAGTCACTGTCTGTGAGCTGAAGGCTATGGTAATAGCCAATTCCTTTACCTGCATTACTTTTCCTATCCTCCAAGTGGATGTGCTGCCTTAACAAGTGAATCTCCCAACTGTGGGATCAATAAAATCTATTCTAAAAAATAAATAAATAAACACTATTTCTGTCTATCTTTAAAGAGCAATTCACTCCCTACGTCTGATTAAAGGCTTTCTCACAAATTGCCGGCAGGCAGTCAGAATTGGTCAGTGTTGTTCACCCACCCTGACACTCAGTACAGGCTCTCCACAGGGCTGAGTGCTGAGTCCCATTTTGTACACCTTGTACACCTCAGACTGCCAGCCCTCACACGCCCATAATTCCATCATCAAATTTGCTGACGATTCCACGGTGGTGGGACTGACTAAGGGAGGGGAGGAGACGGCTTACAGAGAAGAAATACAGGCACTTGAGAGATGGTGCACTCTGAATAACTTGCTGCTAAATACAATAAAGACTAAAGAAATGATCGTGGATTTCAGGAAAGGACTGAGGGATCATGCTCCTCTGACAATTAAGGAGGCAGAGGTGGAGCGGATGGCCACATTCAAGTTCCTAGGGACACAACTTCAAGAGGACCTGAAGTGGACAACAAATACCTCAGCAACAGTCAAGAAAGCTCGGCAGAGGCTCCATTTCCTACGAGTGTTGAAGAACCATCTTGAGGAGAGGCTGTTGGTGTCTTTTTATAGGGCTGCCATTGAATCAGTGCTGGGGGCACTCATTACCGTGTGGTTTGCGGCCTGTTCAGCAGCAGATAAGAAGGCCTTGCAGAGAGTTATCAGATCGTCGAAAAAATAATCGGATGCCCACTGCTCACCCTGGAGAGCATTGCGAGCTCCAGAGGTCTGAGTAGAGCTCAACGGATCGTAGCAGACTCTTCTCATCCAGGACATCACCTTTTACAACTGCCTCCGTCAGGGAGACGTTTCAGGTCCCTGAGGTGCAGAACCAATAGACTGAAGGACAGCTTTTACCGGTGGGCAGTGAGAATTTTAAATGGTTCGATGTGATCACAGGGTGGGCCTCCTTCATTATTTTCTTTTTAAGAGGAGTTCGTTACTCCACCCCCTCCCCTGACTGATAATGTTTTTAGGTAAATTTACGGTTGATGTTTTTTAGCCAATTACATTTTTAATATTTTACTGATCCTTTTAGTGTTCTTTTTAGTAAAGTTGTTTTTGATTAAGTGGCTTTTACATATGTTGTTTGTGGCACTGTGTCAGATGAGGCCCAAGTAATTTCGTTATGCTTTCTTTTGCATAAAGACAATAAATTCAATTCAATTCAATTCTTACTTCACCCGCACTTCCTGTTTGAAAAGGAGGCGTCGCCTGGTGGACCAAAAGGGTGGAGCTTTTATTTTCCAAGCATTAACATTTGACAACGGTCTTTCATATGAGTGAGTTTGTATTAAAGGTGCAATCACTTCAGAGTTGCATCATGGATGGCTCTCCTTCTGTGGGGTGGGGACGTACCACCTCAGGTACGGAGTTGAAAGGACAATTATCTTAATTTCCTGCACTGCAGACACAAAAAGACGAGGTAATTCCTCCAATTATCGCTGAGGTGTATGTGAATCGCCGCAGGAGCCTCACGAAGGATCACCTTTCTCTTTGTACAAACACATGAACACGTGATGCTTGTATTGTTGAGATCATCTCACATCTTTAATCAGCTAAACTCAGCTGCAGCTCGAGGAGACCCCAGTGGGGAAAAAGCTTCTGCTGGCTTTTCCAGCCAAAAGAAATGTACAACTTAACTTTTAGATCATTTGGATGCCCCTTTTCAACAACTCTCCTTATAAATGGCTAATAGATAATAGATGTTTTATTAATTCATCTGTAACAACTACCAAAGGGCCACCATTTATTTATGATGAATAAACACAATGGTAGGAGCATTACTATAAACAGTAGTTTGCTAAAATCTTCTTTAGCATTAATACATATTTAAATATTAACTAAAAGTCACTCTGCTACATTGAAAAGATTAGTTATGATCTGAAACAAACTTTGTGTTATTTTTTCCACAGGTTATTTCTAAGTTTCAGGTATTTTTGACCAAAAATCTGAATTCATTCATTCATCCACTGACATTTTTGCAACCATCCATTATTTGTTCAACAAAGAAAATCCTAAAAACATTAGAGAATTACACGCTGAACCCAAAGTGACTGAAACTCATTTATTTTTGTCTAACTATTTCACAAATAAAGAGTGACGAGCCTGAAGCCAAGAAATGAGTTTGGCTCTTGTTCTTCCTGATAATTATCTGATGAATTGTCATAGATGTTATTTTCCTGTGATTGACTTAACAATTAGTACATGCAATCAATTCTGTGTGCAGATGAGAAGCTCGTGCTACTGGGAGGAAGAAGCCTGCTTTGGTTTGATCGTGCACGGAGTTCGCTAATAAATATTTTATTTTTTTATTTCTTCGGTGCTTTTGTGCAGCGTCCGCCCTCACCTGCACAGGAAGTGAACTTTGTTATCAGGCTGGCTGCAGAGGAGAACGGGTACCTGCGCTGCTGACACAGCTCTCCACACGGGGTCGTTTGTTTTGCTGACCCTGCTCCTCGGTGACCTTGGACTCCTCTTTCCGACTCTCTCCGCCGCTCCCGCTCTCATCCAGCTTCCTCTTGGGGAACATCTTCCTCGCTGCACACATCAGGACAGGCGGTAAATTAAAAAGGGGAAAATAAAGCGAAAGGCTTCCCAGATGAAATTATGCCATAATTATTCATAAAGAGATGAAAAACAGGATGAGTTTACTCTCTTACGGCAGATGTAGGGCAGCAAAAAAAAGAAAAAGAGGTTCGCAGATACGTACTTTGCTAATGAAAACGCTAATTCCACCCAGAAAGATATTATGCAGCCAAGCAGCTTAGAGTTCCAGTGTAATTTCCTCCATAATTGTATGCAACAGTAGTGCTTAAGGGCAATCTTGGTTTTCGTTCCACATCTGCCTCTGTTTGGCTTCTTGTTAAGATTCTAGCAAAGGTAGCTGCTGCTGTTGTGGTTTTCTACTAGATTTCCTAATGAAAGCATTAACCCGGGACATTGGGAATGCAATTCCTGGTCAAATGAGGGTGTTACTTTATTGTGATGACTTTTTGCCAGCAGTGATGTTGGCAGAGACGAGAACGCGCCGACAGCAAACCGTGTAGCCCTCCAACACAATGAGAGTGACGTGATGAAAAGAGAATGAGCAGATTTATTTCTGCATGATGGAAAGAACAGGAGACGGGAGGCTAAATGAAAGCAAAGCTGCAAATCTTTCGCTCCGAGTCCATTCAATTTTCTTTCAAAAAGCTCGCCTTGAAGGTGCGAGGCAGAAAAAAACAGTAAAACGTGCAGATTTGTTTCGTAATTGCAAAATATGAAGTTTTAAATGACATGTGAAATGTTCCAGCTGAAGCGATAGAAGAATAAATGGCTACTTTTGTTGTTCAGAAAGAAAGTTTACGGACGCTGGGAACGAAACACAACAAGGGAACCAAACCAAAGTGAAAAATCAGCGACAATAATGGGACAGAAACGCTCGGCCGCCTCGGTCCAGTCAGCAGAAACGGAACACTGCAAAACAATGCATCCGTAATAATGTTATTATCATAATGCAAATACTAGCAGAAATAAATTACATAAGCTGCAGGGGCGCAGACTCGTGATTCAGCAGATAAGATTAATGAGAGATAGTGAGAAGAGAAACCCCCCAAAGCCCGGTGAGCGGGTTTGGACTGGTGCACACATTTTTTAACAATTCCAGTTTGTGATGAATGTTTTGTTTTCCCATCATTGCAAAATAATGATTATCTGGAGCCATTAGGCTCCTGCTAACAAGTAATCAAGTCAAGCAGCTCCAGGGAGAAAAACAATTAATCCTCCGCTGGTGTCGAAGTTCAAACTCTGGTGAAGTTCGGCGAAGCTCAAGTGTGAATTAAGAATCGGGCCAAAGAAGCAAAAATGAACGCAAACTCATAAAAATGCTAAAAAGTTACTTCAAGGTTTCTCTGTTAATTATTGGTAATAACTATTCTTAGAGCCAGTCGGGTCAGAAAGTTTATAAGAATCGCAACAAAAAATGAACTTTTTTTTTTTAGTCTAAAAACCAAAAGCAGAGGGAATCGAACGTGACTGACCAGTTTTGCGTTTGATGATTCCAGATGGAGAGATGGAACTGGGGGTGCTGGGAGACCCAGAGGATGTTGAAGAGGCTGGGGTTGCCGGGGTAACGGGGGACTGAGTTGCAGCTGGTGGAGACAGGGGGGTGGAAACCTCCTTCAACACATGGTCACTCTGGAAGAGAAGCAGAAGCTTGTGTCCATTTATTAGCGTTTAAACCGTAAAGCCCTTTAAAGTTTCACTCGAGTCCGAAACTTCTCACCAGACCTGCTTTCACCCTGTTCAGGATTCAAACTGAACTCTGTTGCTTTATTCTCTCACTCAGATCTTATGCATGTGACACCAGTTCTAACTCAAGTCCCATAGTTACCATCACACACTGGTGAAATTACATCTCTGCATCTAACCCATCCCCGTGGGGAGCGGCGAGCTGGACTCAGGAACGTTTTGGTGCTTTTACCCCCCAATCCAACTCCATATAGCTGAGTGTCAAGCAGGGAGGCACTGGGTCTTGCGTCCCGTCACGTGGTCAATGTAAGTGACAGTGTGACATAGATCTGTCGGGGTTTCCTATCAGAAGCTAATGCAGCAGATAGGTGTAGGAGACTATTTTCATGTTCGGCCTGCATGTTAAACTCAGAGTTACTCATTAGAATCAGATATCAGATTTAAAAAATATTGTTTTCAGTGAAACACCTCTTCAATAATCATAATAATGGATTGGATTCATATTGGCGCTTCACAGAGAACCCACTAGTCTGCAGGTGATGGTAACTACATCATAACCAAAGCTGCCCTGGGGAGGTCTGACTGAGGCCAACCTGCCATTTCGCACCACCGCCCCTCTGACCACCACCGACACAGGCAAGTCGGGTTAAGTGCCTTGCCCAAGGACACAACTGCAGCATTCCCAGGAAAGGAACAGGAAACCTTCTGATTACTAAACAACCTACAATAATTAGCAAAAGTCAACACCTGGGAGATATGAAAATAGGAAAAATGCTGGAAGTGCTGCAGGGGTGTAAACGATTTTTATCTGGTGCTCTTCAGCCAAGGGATCCACATATATTGGGCAAAGAGATATGAGGCACTAGGGGTTGTATGAATTAGTCGACTTCACTGCTCTGTAGTGACTTTTTATGCCTGTCATCGACTAGTCGCTGTCACGTGATAATGACCGGCAAGATCCAGTCCTCGGAAAAGACAGCAGGTGACAAGCTCCTGCATGTCGGGAGGCGACGAGCTGTGCCAGAGCGTCAGTACTGACACCAACAAATTGTGATGTTTACCCTCCTGCAATTTAACATTCCCCTCACCCCATCCTAACCTTAACCAGCTTGCGCATGCAAAGCTCTGATCGTTGACGCGCTCCAGACATCTGCGTCCTGCGCACCGCCACAGTAACATTATCAAATCAGGTGTCACCACCTCAAAAACTAATTTAACACGCGATTGTTTATGTCGGCTCATGTCCTTTAATGTTTCTGTCTTTTTTTGTGCCTGATGCGTTTCGCTGCTGTGGAGCAGGGCGCATCACCTGTTTTGTCCCCCGGTGATGCACCTCACTGATGCGGCCGGCGAACAGCGGCACTCCGCTGTTTTTGCGGTCGGTAGATCTTTTAGAACTGCAGTTCAAATGTAACTCATAAGGTGAATATATATGAACCCAGGTAGCAGTTTTTCTTTAGGATTGAGAGGAAATGCAGGAAGATAATAAACAGATACAGGACAGAAAAATAGTCAAATAAAAACAAGTCAGTTTTTGTACATGGTGGTTGCAACAAACAGACACCATTGAAGGTCATCAGAAGTGAGGAACAGAAAATGAAATAATTATTTTAATGTTTAGAGCAGCAGGAACTCTGAGAGGCTGCAGGCGCACTGCGCATGGGGAGGGGGGAGAGAGCTGAAGCGGAGCAGTATAGATGCAGAAACTACCGTTGTTAAAAGAAATGTGTTTATCTTTGAAAATGTGGGCGCAATTTTAATTGTCAAAAACTCCAGCGAACCAACCGACCCCACATCCAGATTTAAACAGGATTTTTAAACAAACTCTTTTTGTCCATTTCCAGAAGCTACAGGTTGGCGATCAGCGAATGCTCGTGGGAAAACCCGCCTAGGATCATTTCTGTTATTTTAGTTCAAAATCATCGACAAATAAGGTGCTGCCAACAGCACTGATGATCAGTGAACCATTTGCAAAGGCTTCTGGTGGAATTAGAAAGGTGTTATTAACGTTTTACAGATGAATAATTAACTGTCAACACAGGCCCAACATTTAATTCAAGTGGAGAGGCTCTGCTGCCAAGAGGGGATGTATTACAACCAGCTGGCCACACATCAACAAGGAGGGAAGGTGGGTCACTCCGACATCCCCACGCATCCATCACGGTCTCTTCCCTCAAAGAGAAAAACATAAATGATTGCTGACACGTCACAAACAGAGCGAGCAAGGCGGTTAAGAGGAGTGTTCATCAAATAACAGGAGGTTGAGCGACAGCCAGAGCTCTTTTCATTAACTGGCTTATTGATAAATGTCTCCAACACTGGCTGGCCCGGTGTGTGTGACTGGTTTCACATCACTAAATAAACACCAGGCGACGATAAGCCTAGAGGAGCTCTTAATTACAGCGACTATAATTAGACTAAATGTGTCTTTTACCTTCTCTGATTTCGCTTCTTTGTCTTCGTGTTCTTTGGTGGCAGCTTGTTCTTTAACGACTGTGGCCTCGTCCTCATCGCTGTCCAGGATTTGACGGCTGCGTTTGGCAACCTTCTTGATGGGCGAATCAGCTTCCTGGACACCGTTCTGCACCTTGAGGGGACTCTTGACGGGCCTGAAAACACACACACGTCGTTGAGACTCGGAATCGAAGCCTGATTCATGGAGTTGTTGAGGAGCTCGTTGACAGCGCGCCAAGTTAAAAACATTAAAAATAAAAGGGAAGGTCTACAGCAAAAGCAGTAAAACACAATAAAGATGGAGTCATAAAACAAAGAGGTCAAAGCAATGATGAGAGGAACGTTGCATAAAGGCGAGTCAATTAAAAGCCAGTTTTAAGACGAGCTTTAAAAGATTATACAGTCTGGAGATAATGAACACTTTATCATCAAAGCAGAAATGAGAAACGCAAGTTCTCGTCTTCTGACAGTTAATGACTCGACTAAAAAGTTTTACTCATCAGCGCGGGTCTGTCACTCGCTGCATCCTCCACACGCTAATGAGCTGATTTACCACAGAACCATCCCTTCTCAGCGGAGACGGGCCACCCATCAGGCAGGAACCAGTCGGAATAAAACAACCATTTACATCCTCAGATGAACCAGTCGGACCATCCACAGCCGGTCACACAAATACGAGAAACTCAAGTGTCAGAGTAAAGACTGGATGGCAGCAGTGATCCTGCTCTGTGTGTCTCAGATCTGATGTTGACAACTAGCTGAACCTTAAATTAAATGGCCAGTTTTAAACCCCTCAGCAGTGTTTGTGGTAACTGGTAACGAGTGGAGGAGGTTTGTCCCACTAGTCTTTCTGTTATTGTTGTTACTCAGCCACGTTGGAGGGCTTTCAGGCAAAAACAGCTTGTTTAAGGTTGTTTAAGTAGGGCTGGGCAATAAATCCTAAATGTATCATTATTGAATTTCTGGCTCTTACCAATATCGTTTTTCTCATGTCAATAAATGTGATAATAAAAACTGAAAATGTGTGTAGGCGGATGACAGTCATGTCCCTTTAAGAAGCTGTACCACAATGTGACTCAACACGGAACATGTCACAGCCCCATCTAGTGGACAACTTTTGTTTCAGACCATACCCGTAGTTACCATCCATTTATCGTTATCAAGGTGAAATCCTCAAAATATAGTGATATTGATTTTAGGCCATAATGCCCAGCCCCAGGTCAAAGGTCATATTTTTCTCCAGGATATCCTTCTGAAGCCCCCAGATCATGACACTGCCACCACCACCACATCTGAATGCATGACGTTTTAGAGTTAGTTTAACTGTGGATGGAACTAGGGTTGCTGCGATTGACCAGTGACAAGTAACCAAAGACTTATGATAGCGGGACTGGCACGCAGAAAAACGAAAGCGCATCTGGAACGGGTGCAGAGGGATCATGGCAGAACCAGAACAACCATCAGGACTGCCCTGTTTCCATCCAGGAAGTACTTGAAGTCTCCTGTGTTGGAATATTTTGGATACCGGATGATAAAAAAAGAAAAATTCAGGACGAAGGCTCGTCCACCTGCAAAACTTGCAGAACAAAAGTTGAGACACCCCCAGCTTGTTTCATCTTCTGTGACATTATTATCACGTGTGTGCTTTAAACATCTTTGTACATTTGTGCTTTGTTTTATATTGTATGCATTGTCTGTTTTACATATTTATGCAGCCTGTTGGCCAGGTCATGTTGTAAATGAGAAGCGGTTCTCGAACATTTTACCTGGATAAATGAAAAATAAAATTATCACACAAACACCACCTGAGTCAGGTTCTAGTTACTTAAAGAGCAAGTCACCCCCACCAGAGTATTACTCCGCTCCCACTTCCTGTTTGAAATATGCAACAAATGCTGTTGCCTAGCAGAACGAGAGGGCGGAGCCGCTAACAAATACACACACACACAGGCTCACAACGACATTGTGACATCATATGGTACCAGCTAACGTTCTAGGGTACCTTTTAGCCAATAGCGATGGCAGATTTAAATTCAACTGCAGTGCAAAGTTTTTACCTGACAACGGCACAACACTGACAGTTTTAGGCAGAAAATTTAAATTCTAACTAAAATGCACTAAAGTATTAAACCATTGACTACACGTGTCTGCAGCACGATTAAGCACGCATTTATGTAGTTCAGGGATTCCCAAAGTGTGGTGCGCGCACCCCCTTAGGAGGTGCGCGAGGTGAAAAGTGTAATGGCTGCAGAGCTCAGAGAAGTCTGTCATATGTCACCATTAGCGTAGCCAGAAACTCATTTGTGGGTGGGCCTAAGAAAAAGTAAGTGGGCACAATAAATGTAATTGAAAACAAGTATATTTTTGCGTGTGTGCGTGTGTGTCCTCCACATGTGCCCTAGCTTCATAATAACAATGCGCCGAGCTTCAGCACTCTGGCCTGTGCATGCCGATATGTTCCGTATTTGATCATTTTTAACGGTGTTGGAGGAATCTGAAGGTGGTGAGTCATTCTGGCAGTTTGTAATCAACACCCTGTCTCATGCAGGTGTTCTGACATTGTAAACCTCACACACAGGACATTGTAAATGCAACAAAATAACAAGAAATGATTCCCATTCAGGCTATTAGCGCGCTGAAGATCTGAAGTTCAGAGTGCATCTGTCAGAGGTCAGACGCGTTCCAGCGGAACCACGGCTCACGGGTGCACATGTGAGCACATCTGGGCTGGGCAGAAGTAATTTTACAACGTTGGTTTAAATAGCGCCAATAACGAGACGCAGTGACTGGAGCGGCTCATGGAGCTGTGCCGCGCGCGCACACACACACACACACACACACACACACACACACACACAGATTCAATAAGCGTGCACGCCGCGCAAACTCCGGCGCGCCATCAGACTGAAGACAGAAATGAGCGCTGCCTCCTCCGTGATAAAAACTTTTAAGAGGTTTTATAACATTTTTCATTCCAGGTCATATTAAGATATTAGCTTCTATTTTGGGATGACGTATTAAAGTCGGGTCCGCTCCAGCCAGTGACTCCTCATGAACCTGATCACAACTCCTGTTACTGCAGCATTTGTTTTTCCAGTCCACGTGGCAGCGGACCGCAGATTCAGCCACACCATAAAACAGCAAAAAGTCAGTCTGAGGCAAAAGTGAACCTCATGGCTTTTCCATCTTTTCCCCTATAGACATTTGATTACACACAAGTAGGTGATCAGCTCAGGTTTACGCAGAGCAGAAGGAAGGAGAGCGCTCTGGCCGCACAGGTTAAACGTTCCTACTTAAAGAAAACCATTAAATTGCATTGTTTATGTTCTACCTGGGCACTCTAAATATTTATTTAAAATTAAATCAAAGGAAATTGTAATGGTATCGAATGTTTATTAATTACTATTTAAAAAATGAAAGTGATGGGGAAAAAGGTCGATCATATTTTTTTTTACCCTGTCTGTTTTTATATACAGTTGTGGTCAGAAGTTTACATACACTTGTAAAAAATATAATATAATGGCTCTACTGAGTTTCCCGTTATTTCTAAAACTCTGATTTTTCTCTGATAGAGTGATTGGAACAGATACTTCTTTGTCACAAAAAACATTCATGAAGTTTGGTTCTTTAATATCTTTATTATGGGTTAACAGAGAAAAGTGATCACATTTGCTGGGTCACAAATATACATACAGCAACATGAACTAGCAATTTAGGTGACTTAGAAACGTGTCAGTGAACTGATCTTCATAGCATGGCATCTTAACTTCTTGTGAGTGATTATGAGTGACTACAGCTGGTGACTTCTCTTAGGCCAGGTAAATAGGGCTCACTGGATACAAACGTCCACAAACGATACAATGGGAAAGTCAAAGGAGCTCAGCATGGATCTGAAAAAGCGAATTATTGACTTGAACAAGTCAGGAAAGTCACTTGGGGCCATTTCAAAGCAGCTGCAGGTCCCAAGAGCAACAGTGCAAACAATTGTTTGTAAGTATAAGGTGCATGGCACTGTTTCATCACTGCCAAGATCAGGAAGAAAATGCAAGCTATCACCTGCTGCTGAGAGAAAATTGGTCAGGAGGGTAAAGAGTGAACCAAGAATCACCAAAAAGCAGATCTGCCAAGAATTAGAAGCTGCTGGAACACAGGTGTCATTGTCCACAGTCAAACGTGTTTTGCATCTCCATGGACTGAGAGGCTGCCGTGCAAGAAGGAAGCCCTTGCTCCAAAAGCGGCACCTTAAGGCTCGACTGAAGTTTGGTGCTGATCACATGGACAAAGATAAGACCTTCTGGAGGAAAGTTCTGTGGTCAGACGAAACGAAAATCGAGCTTTTTGGCCACAATGCCCAGCAATATGTTTGGAGGAGAAAAGGTGAGGCCTTTAACCCCAAGAACACCATGCCTACAGTCAAGCATGGTGGTGGGAATATTATGCTGTGGGGCTGTTTTGCTGCCAATGGAACTGGTGCTTTACAGAGAGTAAATGGGATAATGAAGAAGGAGGATTACCTTCACATTCTTCAACATAACCTAAAATCATCAGCACGAAGGTTGGGTCTTGGGCGCAGTTGGGTGTTCCAACAGGACACTGACCCCAAACACACATCAAAAGTGGTAAAGGAATGGCTAAATCAGGCTAGAATAAGGGTTTTAGAATGGCCTTCCCAAAGTCCTGACTTAAACCCCATTGAAAACATGTGGACAGTGCTGAAGAAACAAGTCCATGTCAGAAAGCCATCAAATTTAACTGAACTTCACCAATTCTGTCAAGAGGAGTGGTCAAAGATTCAACCAGAAGCTTGTCAGAAGTTTGTGGATGGCTACCAAAAGCGCCTAATTGAAGTGAAAATGGCTAAGGGACATGTAACCAAATGTTAGCACTGCTGTATGTATATTTGTGACCCAGCAAATGTGATCACTTTTCTCTGTTAACCCATAATAAAGACCTTAAAGAACCAAACTTCATGAATGTTTTTTGTGACAAAGAAGTATCTGTTCCAATCACTCTATCAGAGAAAAATCAGTTTTAGAAATAACGGGACACTCAGTAGAGCCATTATATTATATTTTTTACAAGTGTATGTAAACTTCTGACCACAACTGTATATATATATATATATATATATATATATATATATATATATATATATATATATATATATATATAGCCATGCCCTGATGTGGGGCTGGGGGGTGTGTCGACATGGTCGGGACATAGAAGGGGGTGCGCGGCTAAATAAGTTTGGGAACCACTGAATAGTTTATCAGAACAAAAAGTTGATTTGGGGGTGACTTGCTCTTTAAGTGATTTAATAGTAATATTAAAAACAAAAAAGTATTAAGAAGGAGTGTTCATTTAGCGGTGAGGTACTAAGTTTCCTCTGTATTCGTCCACAACAAGCTTGTACAGCAAGCCATTTTAACATTTAACACCTCTTTGTAATTCCTTATTTGCACATTAATTATATAATTAGTCCTTCAAATAATATTTTACAATAAATAATTGATTACATTTATCAACAAGTAGAAATCATATTTACAGATAATCATAATAACAACTTTACTAAGAGGAGTTTACCATCTCCTTTCTTTAAGTGTCTCCGTCCTTCAGAGTCCATTTGAATAAACATCACGTTAACTCGAACCCTGACCAGTTCAACAGTTTCACTTTTTAGTCTTTTTACAGAAACTCAAAACAAGCTAACAGGCAAGTTTAATTAAAAGTATTTTAAAAGTTTCAAACTGTAATTTAAAAATTAAAGATTACATTTGATCTTACAAATGAATTTTTATCTCTGAAAAGCAGCAACAAATACCTCCCAGAGGTAAAACCTTTATAAAATGTGTTGAGTGAATTGTGTTAATACAGATGTAAAATAACTGGTAATCATTAAACTGTGATTATTTCTCAGACTATAATTGCTCCACCAACATAATCGCTGCAACCCTCGATGGAACAGAATTCACACTTTTTATCTCCACCCAGGATATTTTCCCAAAAGCCTTTAGAGTCACCAAGATGTTCTTTCTTTGGGTAAATCGGAGACGAGTCTTTAGGTCACACGACTGTAAAAGCAACCAAAGGAACTGAAGCAGATGCCACTGGTTCTTCAAGATCTCATATGACCCTGTGACCTAAGGGTGAGGCAGGACCAGCTTCTATTTGCAATTAGTCATTATAACATACACTGAAAATGTATGTCAAAATGTTTATTAATAGTGGTAAAAATACAAACAGCATTTTGAGAAATCTAGAGGAGAGTCTACGTACTCAGAGGCGTACTAGTAAAAAATAATCTTTTAGCACATTTGACTGTTTAAATGAGCGATGCTCTTTATTTACGTAGACTTTTATGGGAAACCTAATGCAGGATTTTCTCCAGTGAAGCCCCTTCCTTTAACTTTGTGGTGCAAAGATAAGTTGGTGCACAGCTAATATGTCAAAGACAAACACCCTTTTTAAAAAGAAGCAGAAATCCACTTCAAATATAGAAATTACTTACTTCTTTGCTGCTTCATCTGCATGTTTCGTCAGATTGTCCTTGTCTTTGCTCTTGGGCTGGAAAAATGATCTAAAGCGGGGGAGATAGATAGATGCAAATGTAATGTTCTGATATGCGTTGTAATTGTATGTAATATGATCATCACTATGATATTTTTTCTATTACAGAACAGAAATGTAAACAATATTGCTGAAGTAGGTTTTTAATTTCTAGTTTGATTCGGGAAAAACTGCTAAAGGGCAATTCCAGCTTACTGTGACATGTACAGCATCTTTAACCAGCTGTTAGGATTAAAACCACAATATTTAGACTCTTTAATGAACTAAATTATTCTAAACAAACAGCTGAATTATTAAAACACAGCTGGTGATTTGAGAAACCCTTATTTGATTTATGAACGTTTAAAAACCCATACATTGTATTTGTTATTTAATTTAAAAGGATCGATTTATTGATATTAACTTGCTTCGCTAACGTTAGATTAGCTGATTGATATTAAACATCTTCTTTATTATCTTTGTTGTGGTTTCAAAGGTTAATGGAGGATGAGGAGTACAGTCGGATCTGTTTTCCTGTTGAACCCAAACATCCAACTTCCGTGCTTAAAACACTCGTCGGTGTAGACAGTTCAGCTAGTGCTAGCTTACAAAAGGACTGCTATCGCGGATAAACAATAACGCTTTGGATGTTAAACCCAATCCAGGACCCATTTAAACCCCGAACACGAGGTATGACGCACTTATCTCTGTAATTTCTTACTTCACAGAAACGAAATAACGTCCCTAGCTAGCTAAACAGAAACATCCCACCGCTGTCGACTCGTTACTTACGCAATGCTCCGCTGCATTTTGTTTTTAAACGCTCCTTTCACTGTTATACTGAACTTAAGTAACTAAATAAAGCCAAGAACTACTTCAACATCCACAGAGAAACACCAACTCTCGCGCTCAAGGACCACAAATAACCGAATATTCGGCGCCAAAATGACACTGTAGACAAAGATCGTTAAAAGTGTGAAGATGAGTCAAACGTGTGTTTAAAAAAAAGGAACGTTTACGGTGGGCTAATGTAGTCAGGAAACAAATAAATCCAAAATAATAAACCTAATCAAACAGACAAATACTGGAAAATATCATTTAAAAATAAAACACCTACAAATAGTTACAAAAAATCGTTAACGTATCTAAAATATGTGAGATCTACAAAATTACGTATTTTAAATGTAAAAGAAACCCCACAAAATATCAAGAATATTGACATTTTTATTTGATTCTAAACGCCTTTATTTGTATAAGTTAAAATACAAATATAAACCACATGATAGTTATGCTTAAGGTAAAATAGATCGATTAAATTCCAATTATGACACTCGAAAATAAAATCAGAGTGGGACTTCTTTTCACTCTTCCTCTCCAGGGAAACGAGTTCCGTTGTCAAAGGCTGTACTGCCCCTCAGTGTTCGGAGTGGAAACTGCAGGATCTGGTTTCTGGTGCTGATGCTGCAAACAGGAGAGACATGAAGCCCCTTTAGTGAAAATTCTTGTCCCTGCATGAATGCATCATTTATGGTACTCCTATCATTTCCATGAAGCTCAAAGCAGGGACTGGAAATGCAAGACAAACAGCTAAATAATGTAAGATGAGTGCACTGCTGCTTTATTTACCAAAACACAAGTCCCTCATCATTAATTGTTTACAGGAACCATTCCCCTGCCGCAGCTTGAAGTGCTGACAGTTAAAAACACAGCTTTAATATGTCTGTTCAAAACGATGACATTGTCCAATTCAATAAATAGCTAAAAACTCTATTATAAATCAAATGTGTTAAATAATAAAAAACACCATCTTGAAACATAAAAAAGCTCAAAAACAAGTGCGGAAAACATCCACGCAAGAAAGATCCATGTTTGTTTGTCTTCATTACATGTCTTTCCTCACTTTATCCACTTCCGCCTGAGACGGTGTCTCTCCCCCTGACAGGTCCCAGCCGATGTGATGGCTTGCATCCTGCCATGCACAGCTTCTGTGTGGCCATCCATTGTCACTTACAACCGACTCCCTCGTCTCTCTCGGGGTGACCCCCGGACGTGCAGGAGCGGAGATGAAGGGGAGGGAGCAGTGGAGAGCCCGGAGCGCCGGGAGCGGTTTAGGAAGGCAGCACGGGAGTAAGAAGGGCTGAGGCAGAGGCTGAACAGCTGTCAGGAGGTAGATCAAGAGTTGCATCAATCACAAGTCTCCACTGAGACGTGCTGTGTTCTGAGGCAGAGCTTTAATCTGTCGGTGTCACCGACTCAAAACTGTTTTCTGTTTTCTGTGCTGACAGGAGGGTTTCAGAGCAACACACAAAGGTGTTTAAGTGTAGAAATTAATTTTATCAATAGATCATGAGTACATTTGGAGAGATTCATCATTCAAGCTACATGAGAGGAATGTTTTAAACCAACGTGTATTTTCAATAAACACATTAATCCAAAAATATTAAATTATTCACTTAAAATAAAATAATATAAGTGATCAATGTCAGGAATGTACTCTAATTTAGCATTTTCCCAAATGGGGACACATGAAATAGCCTGAACCGTGCAAGGCCTGAAGAACCAAAGAGGAAACACACGATGCAAAACTGCCAAAAATGGAAAACTACACTTTTTGTTGGCATTTCCTTGCTTTTTAAAACCACAATAAAATGGAAATTAGTGTTTAATTGAACAGCAAATTGAGTTTCAGTTAAAATTCTCATTTTTTATTTCCAAATATGTTCTGTTCTTTTGTGCAACCTACAGTAAAAATTAAACAGTTTCTGGATCAAACCAAAGCTTAAAATAAAGGGCATTCATTAATGATTAGAAAGACGTGAATTCAAGAAATGCCATAACTGACTAACAGCATCAGCTGGACGTTCAATGGCGCCGGGGAGGTCTGGGTCTTACCTCTGTCCATCAGTGACCCTGCTCCTCCACAAAGAGGATGGCTGCTCTCAGCAGGCAAGGGAAGAGGGGCCCTGTGGACCAGCTGGTGGATGGATGGAAGACATGGAAACATACAACACAACACAATGTGATGGTATCAGCTCAAAAATGATAAATACCAGGTAAAATTTTGGGAAAAAAATAAACTTTGCTGCTACACTGTAAAATCTGATTAGTTCAGCTTACTTTAAAAAAGCATGCAAACGGATTGCACTTGAAAATGTAAGTACACAAAACCAGGTAATTATGTTACTTACAAAGTAAAATGGACTTAAAGAGCAAGTCATCCCCAAATCAACTTTTTTCCTGATAAATTATATAAATGTGTGTCTAATTGTGCTGCAGACACGTGTAGTCAATAGTTTAGCACTTTAGTGCGTTTTAGTTAAAATTTTAATTTTCTGCCTAAAACTGTCAGTGTTGTGCCGTTGTCAGGTAAAAACTCTGCACTGCATTTTAATTTAAATCTGCCATTGCTATTGGCTAAGAGGCATCCTAGAATGTCAGCTGGTACCATATGATGTCACAATGTCGTTGTGAGCCTGTGTGTGTGAGTGTATTTGTTAGCGGCTCCGCCCTCTCGGTCTGCTAAGCAACAGCATTTGTTGCATTTTTTAAACAGGAAGTGGGAGTTGAGTAAGAATCTGGTAGGGGTGACTTGCTCTAGAGGGACTGCACACCATGAGAAAATGTAACTCCACCCCTAGTCAAAATTTGAAAAATGCCATGAAAGTGGGTGTTGCGGCACAGAGTGGCATTGTCACGTGTGGGGCATTTCCATCCTGGGAGGGAGGGGGAGTGGGAGGAGACTGCACCGATGACATGAAATTGTTCCTACCCCAGTCAGCCACAAGTTTAAAATGCAGTAGCTGCTGTCCTGTCACGGGGGGCAGCACTAAGACATGTTTAGACCTGGATTCTAGATTTAATCAAGTTTACACACACACACAGACACACACACACACACACACACACACACACACACACACACGTCAAAAAATGCACAGAAACAGAAAGATTACATTTGTAAAGATCCAGTTATACAGTTTAAAAGTTTAAAAAAAAGTTATTTGGGGGCTTAGTTACTCTTTAAATATACATTACCTAGTTCTATGTAATTATTATTTTAAGTGTGCGTTAAAGGTAAAATATAAAAATTATGCAATATCTGCAAATCAATGATCACAGTCTTTTCAGTGTTTTTTTTAAAGTGTGTTTGATTTTAACTTGATGCAAGCAGTGTTGATTTTAAATTTATACTAAAAATAGTCATTTAATTTTCCACAAAACTGATTAGATGATGATTGGGTCATATACTTAGCCATCAGTTAAGCTGAACAGATGCAGTAATAACTATATTGCAACAATTAGTGTCAAATTACAAACACTGAAGGAACTTAATTAGTGTAAAATGCATGAAGTCATCAAAAGATTGAGATAATTGGGGGAAGAATGCTAACCCTAAAAGTCTGCATTGATTATGAGCTGTTGTTGGGCTGTCTGCCATCAAAATAAAGCACGTCTGAACTAGTTTTAGTTGGATTTATGAGAAGCAACAGCATCTGTTCTGGTCTTCCTTTTGGATGTCTTAAACACTTTGTCCCACAGGAAAAACAGCCGAAGGACCATCCGACTTGTTTTCCAAGCGCAGCTAAAATAAAACAACATCTGTGATGATCTGGAGATGCATCAAGGCACATGTTTTTATAACATGCACATCTGCTCAGCCACAGTTAATGCTGACCGATATATAGAGATTTAGGAGCAGCATATGCTGCCATCCATATGAGGGCTTTTTCAGAGAATGCTTTCGGGTATTGGAGGATAATTAATCCATATTTGGTTTTTAGCTGTGAAGTAAGAGTTTGAGCACCACACTTTAAACTGCTGGGTTTAAAACAACCCAATTTGGGTTACTTTGGTAATCCAGTGCTGAGCAAACACCAATTTGTCTTCCATTAGACCAGGGGTATTCAATTCTGTCCTCGAGGCGCTTGACACAGTTTGACATTGATTTCTGCTCAAAAATGGACTAAACCAGCGGTTCTCAATTATTTGATGTCACAAACCTTGAAACAGGCTAGATTAGCACAGGATTTCACATATGATGTCCATTCATTTGAAAGATGTATTCTGATGCCAAGAAAGCACTTATTTCCAAATGGGGGTCAAAGTTATTTTAGGTGTTGTGTGAAAATACGTCCAGGGCTACAAATGCGCAGCACTAAACTGACGTAATTGAACCAGACACGGAGAAGAGCAGAGGCTGCAAGTTTAGTGAGCTTCAAATCCTTCCTTCAGGAGGACAGCACCACCATAAGGCAACAGTAGCTCAGGAGTTAGAGGTAGATGTCTAGTAATCAGAGGGTTGTAGGAACAAAAATTGAGTCTTATTTCCTGAAATTTGGACATCTAGCCTCTGATTGGCTAACAGCAACACAACTCTAACACTGATTTACAACGTTGATGTTTTGTCTCCACAAATAACAAAAACCTGAAGGAGTTCTGCTGTGTGGTGGAGCTGCTAATGCTAATGCTAATTCTGCTGTTTCCTGAATGCTAAAACAACAACCCGTCGTGAGTCTAGGTGAGTGAGCCCATGAATGTTAAGTGACAGTGTGACGTAGATCTATCAGGATTTTCTAATAATAGAGTTTCACCACAAACTAAACATTTAAACCATTTATCTTTTTATTTTTCAAGTAATAAATAATTGAAATAAAAATGTTAAAATTAAGAAATCAAATCCTAGTCTCAGGGTGAAGAATTACAGAATAAGAAGCTAATTTCCTCCTATCAGGTCATCATAAGTTAACCGTTGGCTCAAAGTTCAGAATTAATGCAAACAAAATCTTTCGTTTATAACTCAGAATGAAAAATGTGGCCTGATAATGAATTAAAACTGCAGATTGCACTGACTGTAAACCTTTCATGTTGTGTGTTTGTGTCGGTCATCTACCTTCACCGAATCTTAAATATTTATTATGATCTCCTTTAAACCGTTAGACAGTTAGGCTGTCCCCATCTCTGCCTGTCTTCAAGAGTCGCCTAAAAACCCACCTCCTGCGCTTGGCGTTTCCTGATCGTGTTTGAATTTGGCCCTCTTTTATGTTGATTTTATTTCACAGTTTTCATTGGTTCACTCTATCCCTTGTTTTACACATTTGTCCTGTACTAGAATGTTTCACCTTTTTTTGTCATTTGTAATCTGTGATTTGAATTGCTTTTATTTTCTGATTCATTCACTATATTTAACTTTCTACTGTACAATGTTCAGCGCCTTGGGCTTCCTGACAGGGTTGCGGAAGGTGCTTTATAAATAAAGCTTTGATTGATTGATTGATTGATAAATGGCCAGGGTTCATATAGATAGAAGCTGCTTGCATCAAGCTCAGCGTAGGCACCAATTATCCAGTAAAGCGTCCTTTTTTCAGGCTGAAAATGGTACTTTTAAATTTGAACTCATCCCATCTAATTTCTCCCAACTTTCTCCCAACATCTGGGGAGAAAAAGCTCTGAATGAAAGCTGGTGTGTCTGAGACGAGTCAGGAAATGTCCAGGCTGGATGATGAAGACCGTAAACGCAGGAGCAAGGTCTTCCTGAACATTTCAATTCAGCTCAACTATGAAAAAGAAACTGGGATTTCTTTTTGTAATTAATCAGAGAACACGTTTAAGGCTTACTCAGCAACTTGTCTGTCAAACAAAGTGCCTGCTCACTCAATCCCTCCTTCTGAAGAATTTATCACGATTGGAACGACTGCAGCCTTCAGGAGGAAACTCATAAAGACCCGCTTGAACTTCCACAGTCAGAAGGTCACTGACTAAAAGTGGGAATGAGTTAACTAGGTCAGGTAAGTCTGGTGATTTTTGATGAATCTGTTACACTAAAGAAAATGATTGCCTTGCTTTTAGGTAAATTGATCAAATTAGCGTTTCCATGGTGACTCCCTTAAGGAAAGGAGAAGACTTGGTGATGACCTGGTAGCCCAGTGGAGGCGGGTACCCCGGGTAGTTGACCAGGATGAGTTTGCTGAAGTTGAACTTGTAGGTGAATCTTTTTCCTTTGGTCTTGTGTAGGATGCGTTTGTTGTAGTAGTACCTGCAAGCAGAGTGTTTCCTGTCAGACTGCGACCGGTGCGCTCCGGATTGCGGTCAGACAGCTGATGATGAAGCTCTACCTGAGCGCCCGGCTGAGTTTGTCGTAGTTCATGTGCGGTTTGCCCTTCCTCTCGCCCCACAGCCTCGCCAGCCTCTCAGGGTCCCTGATGACGAACTCGCCCCACTCTCCTCCCCAGCCGATGGCCGCACCCTCGCCGCGGCCCAACAGCTCCAACAGGAAGTGCCACAGCTGGACCTGTCTAGAACCAGGAGACCAGGCCGGCTTATAGGCCCAATCAGGAAACAGCACTGCTGGTGGAGGAAGATGAAACTATGAACATCCCATAGTTCTCAAAAGTAAGTATCAAATCACTAACTGCTTTCTGAAGTACGTACATTTGTACATAAATAGATCTATTAGAGTAAATGTAAGCATTTGCTCCTGTATGCTGCACGGCGTTAGAGTTTTGGACATTAGAATTATTCATTTGGTTGTTTCTGAATTATTTAATTGATGTTCTCAGATATTAAATATCCTGCATAATTAGTGTTTCTCCGCCGTTTGGTTTTCCCCATACCCCAACACATCGTGGAGTCATCGTCTACTTATCTTCTTTCCCTGCTAGTGTACTCCCCAGTTTCTCAGACCCAGTTGTTGCTTTCTTAGTCATTATTTGCCACTTTTTTCCCAGTTGTTTCTGTTTCGATAGCCTGGCCTGCCGGACTCATCCTCTGTTTAATTCTGCACAGAGAACTGTCCACAGGGAAGCATGGAGCTGGCTGGTTAGGCTACTGTTTGGATGCATTTGTAACTTTTAAAGTTTTCTTTTTCTCCTCTATTCTATTCGCATCACTTTGGTTTTGCCCAAACACTGGCCTCACGACAAATCCCTAAACTCATCAGCTGAAATGTCGCTGTGTGAGCGAATGGCCTGGTACTTTCATGCAGCTCTTTATTCATCATCAGTTGTTTGCTTTTCTAAAGGGAACGGTAAAGGCAACGTCTCATTAATCATAAAAATGCATAAAACTCAAAGACGATGGATTTCCGCCGAAGCGGCTTCAATCCAGATGAAAACCAGCCATCACATTCGCTGTCCATCCGTAGGCGAGCCTTTTCCTGCTGAGGGACATTTATTGTCTCGAGGCACAGTAAGAGTGGTTCTTGACCTTTTCAGGCACAGATTTTTAAAACAACTAAGAGCCACCGTGACATAAACACCCTCTCTGCCGTCTGTTGAGTGAGCGGGTGGGTGTGCAGGAAGTAAGGCTAGGAGGAAAACATAAAAAAATGTTCATCTTTCTTTGATTTGTGGTAAAAAAAAACGAGAAAGGATAAATAAAGCTGCTAATTTCACCAGATTAACTGATTGTTACTTGAATCACAATAATAACATGTTAAATTTCCCCTAATTTGACTGAATGAACAGCTTTGTAGACAGTAACGTGTGGAGTTGGATGAAATTCGCAGCTTATGCCACTAGGTGTCACTGTATCTAATTTGTGAGCCTGTAACACTTTTGGAAACCACGTTAAAATGGGCAAATCAAGTGTCCTCATGTCTGTAGAACAATAAAAACAATACAAATAGGTACCAAAATGTTAGAATCGTTTCATCTTTTTACCAACGTTCCTCAATTTCTGCACTGGAATGGAAGGAAAGGTTGTTTTTTATGTTCTATCAATTAATAAATAAATATTATTTAGCTTTTTTGTTGCTGTACTTGAATCATAACAATGTATGAATCTGTAAACTGTGCTTTTAGGCTATGTGGATTATTATTTTTATTATTTTTATTTTACCCAAAAATGCTGTGGTATTAAGTCTCATGATCAAAATGTTTTAAGTTTGTTTCCTCTGTCTGGAAAATGTTATCTATTTATTTAGTGTGTCTATTTCTCACAACATGAAAATATTCTCAATTAAATAATGCAAATTATGATTACCTTACTGAAATTTTAATACATTTTAATAAACAACAAAACTTTTTTTTTCAGTTCTGATTAATCAAGCAACATTTTTAGCAGTTTTTTTTCAATCTAAATATTTCCATATAACAAATAAAAATAAATAATAATCAGACTTTATACATTTGGCTACAGAAAAGTTATCACCAATTAGAATTTTATGATTAAATTGAATTGATTAAAATTTAATTCATAATTATGAATTATTATTTTATAATTTTAAATTATTATTTTATATCCTCATTTCAGCCCATTTTGGTTAATTTGTGATTGTTGAATTACAGAAAGTTTCAAAAAAGAGAAAATCTGGCCAAACAGACAAATAAGAACCCTCGTAGACATTTATGATTCTGCAGGACGACTGGAGACTTTTTTCTTCATAAAAATTGAGCGACTTTACCCGAGTATTAACCACGCGGTGCCGGTGCTTTCCCCCATTTTATTACTTCTTCATATTCACAATCTAATCTATTTTCCCATTATATTAAACGTTAGAAGAAGATGTGCTCTGCAGAGAATGAGTCCATAATGACTCCTAATGTAAAAGGCCTCCCACACAGCTGTCAGCTCACGTAAATAACCGAGAGGAAAATCAACACAAACACACAGAATCCCACCTCGGCTCCAGTAGGGTGATGAAAAGTGCTCGACTGAAGAGTTACAGCGGCACTGCATCTGTCCCAGAAAGCAAACAGAGAAAAAGATTGAGTGTCTTCATCGCCGTGCTCCTCATCACACGGAGACAAGAAAAGGAGCTTCAGGAAATAAATACTAATCATCTTGTGTGGTGTTGATTTAGCCGTCACAACAACAGATGCACCTGACTGTAGCCGCCCCTCTCAAATCATTCACATTTGTTAATTAGAAAGTCTGAGTTGATGCTCTTTATCAAATAAATAAATATATGTTATTACAAGTGCACCTTAACTCTGTAAGCACACTTTCAGACACGGTGACCTTCCAGAGCCATTTGCTGCAGACGTTCCTCCCTGGAAGGCTCAAAACTCATCTCCTGAAGAAGCGCCTCACTTTCCCCCGCTGAATCACGTCTCCCATATGCTCCTTTTCCTGAGCTCTAACGCCCCCTTATCTTAGAGCAAAAACAAAAAGTCTCTTTTCAGATCTTATTTGATTTCCTTTTTCTCCCTGTGTAGCACAGCTCCCACTTATGGTCTCTGCAGGGTCACCGGGTCTTTTATCAGGGCCGGCTGAGTCCAGGACATCTGCACCTTTAGGCCAAAATGTCGACTGAAACCGGCTCTAAAGTCATCCGCCAACAACAAAAGAAGGAGGAAATAATCAAACATCATAACGGAGGACTGGTGGTATTTAGGTAATAAACTTTCATTTACTGCTTGAAAACATCAGCAAACATCTTAATATTTATCCATTTCTAAATTATCCCGAAGGCCATAAACACAATGAAATTAAATGATGCCAAAAATGTTAAGAAGAGAATATTTCTGAAGGCCCCGGGGTTAAAAAGGTTGTGTTTTTTTTTTAGAAAGGAAAGGCAAGTGAAAGCTTTTGGCACCAGTGAAATAATAACTGAATATGTTACCTCGGTTGGAGTGTGCAACTCTTCATCAGACGGGTGACAGTGATCACTTTGTCCTCCGGCCCACTTCAGGTCTGAAAGGACTAAAGGATGAATGAACTGGACCTTAAACCCTCTGTCTCATCTTTCTCCCACCCGTCCCCATCTCCCCTGTCTCCTATTACCCCCACCCCACCCTTCCTACCTCCCCCTAATCACAGAATTAGGAAAGCGAACACAAACACAAATGACAACACAGGAAAATCACATTTTTTAAGCAAAAATGAAAATTGATCACACATATTTAGATTTACCATCAAACTGGTCGACCCATTCTGTTTGTTGATGTGGAAAAACCATCAAAAATAACAATTTGAGTTAAATGAGATGGAATGAATCCAACTGATACACTAGATGCTGAGTTTTATCATCACAAACCGAACATAAACTTAAGAAAATACATTTTACCTCTAGGACTTTGTCATTCCCTCTACCAGTACCGGACCAAATGGAGACTGAAAATGAACTGAGGGCTAAATAATTTGCAGTTACAGCCGTGGTTTGGGGCAGCTTTTGTTGGAAGCAGCTGTTATTTCTCAGAGAGAAAAAAGGGCAGCAGTATAACAAGCGCAGATGACCATCATTACAAGTGAGGGCGCAAAGGTTCAGAGCTGAAATGAAGTACGAGCAGGAGGTAAATAAACTAGGAGGAAAGCAGTTTCGTCACGTCAGGACCGAGCCGAGGGGCGAAGACAGAGCCGAGCAAAGGTGACTGCTGCTTTTTTTCTTTGTTAAATCAAATAGGTGATGAACTCGGTTCCGAAGCCATTCGTCACTGCACTACAGATGCTTTTCACTTGGCGGCAGTGACTTTGACCAAGGTTATCAGGCTGTTCAATACTCAGCTGCACCGGCGCAGGAGGCAGCCGGAGGTGGAGGTGGTGTCTGACACGTCTGGTTCTGGATAATGTGCTGCCTCCACTAGTTGTCTGTCTAGAGATTGTATTTGTGCCGCCTGCAAAACGGTAGAGGTCGACCGATATTGGTTTTTCTATTGCCGATGCCGATACGTAGGAGACATGATCAGCCGATGACCGATATGTTTTGCCAATTTTCATGGCCAATATCTAGACATTTTCCACCTTGTTTTCGTGCAAAAATGTCCCCAATGACATCAGTTGATGCACAAAATTTCTGAAGCTGAATCTGTTTTTTAACTCTGAATATAACTAAATCTTAAAGAGACCATTTGTAGTTTTTACTAGTACATTCTGGAAATATCCATCAAAATGTTGTTGAAAATAAATGAAATGATGCCCAGTTGTTGAAAAATATTGGCAGCGTTGTAACACATAACCATAAAAATCAGGTCTAAAACGCACAGGAGTGGGTCTACGTCTCTGGACGACGCCATATTAGCTATATCAAATACAGGCCATTTTAGATGCCATGTTTCCTTCTATGGAAGCCTGTGAGGACAAAATGCATTTACTGATTTGTAACGAATGGTAAGACAACTTTCATCATTCTTAAACGTTTTTGTTTTACACATTTACCTCTTCACTAGTTGCCAGTGATGAAAGGGAGTCTGATGTGCTTGTTGTTTTGCTAAAGTTTTTACTCCCCAGGGCTTTTTGACCCTAATGAGCATCCGTTGGTAACGTCTTACTCTAACACAAAAATACTGCTTGCTCACAAAGATTTAGGTATCTACTGCCCCCTATAACCAAGAAAAATACACACAGTCACTTTAACTTTGTGCACCGCTCAGTGTTAAAGTCAGACACATAAATAAAGTTCATTTAGAGTATTTATTATGCAGATGTAATTAGTGAACATACAAACACATTGAATTTAAATTCTGCAACAGCACCGGGCTGCCCGAGGATGTGCCTGATTTTAAATGGGCTTTACTAAGGACACATATCAGCTGATGCAGATGTATAAAAATATTAAATATCAGCCCAATATATCGGTCTACAATGGGTCTTCCCTTTTATAATGAAAATGTATTAAAGTAAGACCTGCCACACTGAAATATGATCAGAAATGGTGCTGCAAGGTTGAACCGCAGTTCGGCGCAGACTAGGAAGCGTGCTGCCATTTCTCTGTCCAAGTGGGGTAAAGGGACAGGTCAGGGAGTTTGAGACTCACACAACAGCTTTTGATCATCTCAACACTGTTGTGGTTCTGGCATCAGAGTTTGTCAGCCCTCTTGTGGCCTGGAGGCCCCATACAATTGCCTGCCTTGCCCATCAGCACGCGGCGCCTCTAGAAATAAGAGCTTAAGTAGGAAACTAATGATTATTTCAGTCAGTTGTGGTTTAAACTAAATAATGCTAATAAATGTTCCTTTTATGACATGTTTCAGTATTTTAACTTAACATTGTGGAGAATAAAACTCAGAATGTTTGAGCTTTAGACAAACTTGTGAGTTTGGCTGCAGCTGGAGCACAGCTGACACTTTCTTTATCTGCAGCTGGTTTACCTCCTTAAAAAACTCTATGTGTTGCAGCAATTTTCCTCCCATATGTTGGATATGAAGATGCTCCCAGCAGCTCGTTAGCCAACCTTATCAGAAAGAATTTTCAAATATTCAAAGAAATTCATTTTAGATCTCAAAATGCAGCAAAATATTTTCAAAAATCCCCTCAAAAGAGCATGAATTGGGAGTCCAAATTAAACCAAGCTGGGTTGTAAACTAACCTTGTTCTACTTAACTCAAATAACATGTTGTGTTGCTGGTGGATTAGACGTGATTTCGTTTTCCCTGCAGCGCAAAAAAGAGAGAAGCTTCCATCAGCGATCCTCTAAGACTTCTTATGATGCAACACTATACATCCCTCTCCTCTCCTCCAACACACACTCACATGCACACACACAAACACACACACACACACACACACACACACACACACACACACACACACACACACACACACACACACACACACACGCTTCAGCTCCTCAGATGCGACAGCTGACACCGGAGGCTTTTAATTCCAGTGTAAATACAAATACTCTCCCAGACAGTTATCAATTATTCATGCTGCTAATTGAGTTGAATGTTATGCTTTTAACTGCCAGGGGACCCAGGGTCACATGCAGAAAGCCTGAAAGCGCGCGCGCACACACACATACACATACACACACACACACACACACACACACACACACACACACCCTAGTGGACCTTTTATCCTGTGGTTGTGCACAAAGATCCATAGGTGGGCCCGATATGGAGAATATATGGGTAAACAGTATGGCCCCAACAGGTTTTGTCCATGGTGGCTCCACAGGAGTTTTCCCCACGTAGATTTTAACAGGCCCATGTATGAGTTAAACCAGCTGGGTCCCTGTGTGGGCAAGCCCACATGAGGCCACCATGGAGACTGCAGACAAAACCTGTTGGGGCCGATACTGTTTGCCCATTTATACTGCCCAGCCCAAAAAAAAAAAAAAAAAAAAAAAAAACTCACCACCTGGGTTTAACCAAGCAACAGGTAGGAGCGTCCTATTGGATAATTACTGCAGGGGGATTATCTTTCAGCTGCAACAAGTTGTTTAACCCAATTGGTGAAATGGGCTGCTTCTCATTTCTTAAGCAACCATGACACATCTGGTGGTCGTGGAAAGGAATGTCTGTGTGAGAAGGGTCAGATCTTTGGCATCAAGCAGAGAAAACATCTAGGTTAAGAACTGTCCAATGTTTTATTAAAACTGGTCTGATGAGTCCAGATGGACCCTGTTCCAGAGTGATGGTGCATCAGGGTAAGAAGGGAGGCAGATGAAGTGATGCACCCATCCTGCCTAGGGCCTACTGTACACACCTGTGGAGGCAGGGCTATGATCTGGGCTTGCTGCAGCTGGTCAGGTCTAGGTTCAGCAACAGGATGGGCTCCAAGAATGAGGTCAGCTGACTACCGGAATATTCTGAATGACCAGGTTATTCCATCTTCCCTGATGGCACGGCCTTATTCCAAGATGACAATGCCAAGATTCATCGGGCTCAGATAGTGAAAGAGTGGTTCAGGGAGCATGAGATCATTTTCACACCTTAACCCCACTGAGAATCTTTGGGATGTGCTGGAGTAGGCTTTGTGCAGCAGCCAGACTCTACCATCATCAATGCAAGAAGTTGGTGAAACATTATTAAGATGGAGATAAATCTGGTGATGTTGCAGAAGATTATCGAAACAACGCCACAGAGAATGTGTGTCGTAGTCAAAGCTAAAGGCGGTCCAACAAAATATTAGAGTGGGAACTTTTTTGGTGGTGAGCTTTCTTTTAGCCGAGCAACGTCTATTCCATATGGGGCCCACCTAGGTGCTGGCTAGGTGTTCTTCTCTCTTTCTGTGCTAAAGTGCAGCTGGGTTGATCGGCACTGCCGTGTTTGTATCTGTGGAGCAGAATGTGAGAGCTATGGGGCTGGGTCACGATGCTCTTTTATTATTAATTACCACCTTTTAGAGGAATAAATGTTTAAAAATATAACAGCAAGGTACGAGCTACATGGAGGCAGGATTTCTGAACTTGCAGCTAACAAAGCTTCATCTAAATTCAGAAATCCTGCCTCTAGCACCTCTGAGCCTCACTAACGAACACAAGCAGAAACACTAAAACGACGTTCGTTACACGCTGTAACCAAATCCCACAAGCCTCAGAGTTGATATATAATAAACAAAATTACACTAAAACTACAGAATGACATTTTTTAAATAACAAAATAATCCGACTGGGTATTAGGTGATGTCATATTCTCTGGCACAATTTCAATTTTCAATTTCGGACAGAACTCTGAAAAGGTTCAATTTCATTCATTTGCCAGTTCATCGTGGACGTTTAATTCCACGCATTTATTTTAATTTAATCAACAATACATTTTATTTTACACACAAGTTTCTACTCTTGCATTTAAAAATACTTTTCTTCATTTTTTACTTTTATTGTTGGCTTCAAGTGACAAAAAGCACCAGAACACTTGAGCTCTATTGATGTTTGGTGATTCACTTCTAAGCTAAAACTTCCATTTTCATCATTTATTAAGACACATGATATTCATCTAAAAAGTGAATTTTGGTAAACATTCATGTGTTGTTTTTCTAAAGAATGAAAAAGGTGGCGATGGAAATGTGTGTTGGATATGCTGAGGCTGAGAATACTTGAGAAAACGT